CGATTCAATACTCATGTTTTTCGTTGGTCGTTCCGGGGAAACTTGTAACGATCAAGATTGCTCGATGCTCAAGGCGGCAAGACAAGGCTGCAAGCAGGTCCTAACGACCTCACCGGTGACCTGATGGCCCCCGCCCGCCCCTGAGGCCCTGTGATTGGCCAAACGTGGGCGTCCATGACCTGTCTCCCACCCCTCTCTTGCAGCCCACTGGCGTTCGGGTCATGTCCGGGCTCTGGCTGGTCGCCAGCATCGTCTACATGGCCGAGATTGTCGGCAGAAACATGGACTATCTGTTCAGGGAGCGAGGATTTCCTCTCAAGATCCTCACGGCTGTGAGTGACCAGTGCCCGACAACGCCTCATCTTACTACAATTCCACTGGCGACTAAAGAGCAAAGGGTGAAGCTTGCTTCGGACCAATTGAAAACACTTTTGTACATACCACTGCCGTATTCATGCTTGTAAAATGGTTTGGTTTTACAGGGAGGTCAGGTAGTTCTATTATCTCAACTTGGGACGAACACGTTACAATTCTGAACTTTGTTCACTTTTGCGTTGAACAGCTTGCTTGGACGGTTTGCCGGAGGTGGCTGCCTGAACCAAGCACAAACGCTCATGCTTGTGGTCCAACCACACCATGACAACCGGCTCCAAACAAGCAACCACCCGCGATGTGGTACCGAGACGTTAGGAATTCGGGGGCAAGTGAAATGCGAACGAGATGTGTGGAGAAGCGAATATGAAACAAAACTTTGTTACATCAGGGAAGGTTTTTCAGCTGGGTTTATTGATGTTTTTGTTTTATTCAGCGACGCCAGCTTTGGAAGACCAAAGTTCTCTGGCTCCCTCACAACTTGGCGATATTCTTCGCCTGCCAGAGCGGTAAATATGAATCCACCACGGAGCCGGGTATAGAATAAAGCCAAGCTGCAAAGCGGCCACAGGATTTTGGTCCGCCAAAGCTGGAGTAGCTGAGTAAAAACAAATAATCTGTTACATAACTTCGAAAGGTATAGCGGTTGTCTGAATGAACAATGCTGACAATTAACAATTGCCCCGGACGCTCAGACATCACGCTCATCAGATCAGATAATCGTCGTGATTACAGTGGACGCCGCACACGATCCGCCATAATGCAGGTGAACGTATAAAACAATGATACAATGGGTTACCTGACAGTAGCGGGGCACAAATTTATTTCGTCCAATTAGAGCTAGAGTGTAGATGGTACAAGTGGTCACGTTCCATCTATTAAGCACCTAAACAAAGCATCGGTCATGCTTCTTTAACCCTTAAGTAAGCCCGTGTAGGACTACATCTTTTGTAAATAAATACGCTGCAGGTGTCCACGTGGGGCCATACGCCATCGGGCGCCCTCAGTGACGTAATACCCGGTGAGCCTGTGCGTGACCCGCCGCCGCTGTCGGTAGGTGCTGGCGCTGGCAGCCGCCTGCCTGGACGCGGCGCTCTGCCTGCTGTCGCACCGACACCGCAGCGCCATCTACTCGCCGCAGCTGAAGGCGGCGCCCTCGGTCGAGTCGGGCGCCCGCCCGGCCCAACTCACCATTGGCACACCGCCGGCGCACGAGGCGACGCAGCGCAGCAGCTTCGGCGGTGTGGAGGCGCGGCCGGAGAGGCACCGGATGGAGCGCGCGCCCAGCAGTCCACCGTTCGTCGGTCAGCGGAGGCACGCTTCTCGTTCGCCGCCGCCCCGGCCGCCAACTCGGTCGTCAGCCTGCAGGGGCCGTCCGAGAGCGTGCGCAGGCTGACCGAGAAGGACACTCAGACCAGTCGGTGAGCCTGAAGAGCGAGTTTCGGCGCCAGCGCCGGCCTACGTCCCGGCGCCGACGCCCGAACAGCCGCCGGCCGAAACGCTGTCTCGAAGCCTCTGTCCGGGCGGCGCGGCTCGGCCGGCTCGGGCGGCGCTGGCGGGGAGCAAGCCACGCGGTCCCTGGCCGGCTCCGCCGACCACATCGGCGGCAAGGCGGGGCCCAGGGCGCCTGCCGCCGCTGCCACGCGGGCGCCGCCGCCGATGACGCCGCCGGCCGGCCCCGCGCCGCCGCCGGCCGCCCGCGCCGCCGGCGGCGCAGAAGAAAGCCGGCGCAGCTGCGCGCGGGCGCAATGGTCGCAGACGCGCGAGATGCGCCGCTCGGTCAGCACGCCACCCCGGGGACGTGGAGGAGCCGCTGGCGGTGGCCGGCACCAAGTTTGCGAGCACAGACTACCTGGCCAGCGATCCGGCCAACCTCAGCTTCAGCCAGCGGCTCAAGATGCTGGAGCAGCGGAAAGCGAACGGAAAGCGAGTGACGCTCAGACCAGACGCAAAGAACTGGCTGTGGCGGGGGGATGCGGGGAGAAATGCGGGGGGTGGGGATTGCGGGGGGATGCGGGAGGAGGGATGCTGGGGGGGGGGGGGGTAGGTGAGTGTCACGCAGTGGACCTTGAATGTGAGGGAGCGCATGAAATGCGGCGGTGTGGCGAGCGGGAGCATACCGCAGCGAGAGAGCGCACACTTGCGGGCTGAGACACGAGAGCAGGCGGATATGGACCGAGAGCCAGACGGGGCGAGCTAGCGTCGCCGTCCCGCGCAGACGGCAGCGTCTGCAGACGGGCAGACGTACGCCGCTTTGCAGTCGCTCGCCCGGCGCGGGCGGACGCAGAATCTGCCCATTAGCTCCAGCTGCCTCGTTTGATGACGCCGTTGCTTGTCGTCAGCTCCTATCATAACAGACGCCAGCGCGCCCTGAGACGGGACTGAGGGGGAGGGGGGGGGGGACGCCGGGCAAGACCGGCGCCGGCTCACCCCGGCGTGGCTGTGTCGTGAGTCACGTGCCGACAGGCGCCAGGAGCGTGTGCTGGCGTCGCGCGCGGCCGGGCACAGGTCCGGGGGCGGCGCCACGGACACGGCGTGAGAGTATGGCCGGTGGGACCCGCCCCGGGGTTCCCCGTTAACCCTGATGTTTTCTCTCACGCACTTGTCGCTTCATAGAAGGAGTGTCCCGAGAATGCCGCCAGGCTTGCAGTCGACATGCGGCCAACGCCTTAGAACACTGTAGTATGCACGTGCCAACTAGCTGATATTTTCGTGACCTGTACATGTGTTCTACTGCTGAGGGCAGGGTGGGAAGTGCACGGGGCAGGTGCCCTGTGCCCACCCTGCGCCCGCCTTGTGTCCGCCAGTGGCAGAGTGAGCTCATCACGTGTCAGACGTGAGGGACATGTCGTCTGCTCGTTGCCACTTCACCGACACGTAAACGGCACTGACAGGAGCCGACTCAGTCCATTGCCGGGCTGTTTACATCCGTCTGTCCACTGCGCGGATCCGTGTTTACTGCTTATGCCATCGGCGGCGAGGAATGCTGCATCATAATGCGCCGAGGCGTCCGTACGAGCCCGTGGCATCACCGGGTCGATTCACATGTGCCTTCCGGCTCGGCTCCCCTGTCTGCAGCAGCCTGCAAGCACGCACGACCTCGCACTGCTGCAGGCCCTTCTTTGGTTTGCTTTGCGAAAGGCACGCGTGCGCGCAGAGGTGTTGCAAAATGACCAAAAATGGCAGTGTTGTGATGACGGTGCGGAGTTCATATATCCTGCTATTTATGGATGTAGTTATCTGTGTGCGGTGTGATACGTTATTTATCTGTTCGTGTGTGAATCTTCATACGTGATTCATGACTGCTTCCTAGGAAGCGTATACATCGTCGAGTGAGCACCGTCACGACGCTGCTGCTGAAGACTTCCCTCAATAAGGAGACACCCATGCGACCAAAGGTCCATGTTTGTGTGTCCTCAACTACGAGCCTCCATTGCATTGACGAACACGCTCGCATCACTTTCACCCTGGACAGACGGACGAAATACACTGCCGATCGTCACGTCTCGTCAACCACGAGCCTCCATTGCATTGACGAACACGCTCGCATCACTTTCACCCTGAACAGACGGACGAAATACACTGCCGATCGTCACGTCTCGTATGTTTCAATTCGTGATAGTGTAACTTCAGTTGTTCACACGCTGGCATACGACCGGGATGCAACTATTGCAACGCGGGAGAAGGATGAAAGAGGGTTCAGACTTTCAGCTCTTTTCGCACGCCCTCCATCGCGCGAGATGCCGAGGCGCCGTGAAATGGTAGCCATAATTCGGGTTCAGCATCACCATTGCATTGCATTCCACTAAGCTGGCGTTGTGTCGCCGTGATGTCACCAAGCTGGCGTTGCGTGATTGCAATGTGTCCCACAGGTTGGACATTAATGAGGTCAACGCCTGACCCGTGCGGGATGGCTGATCGTGACATCGGCAGGCACGGTCGCCTTCAGTTGAAGTCACGCGGCTGGGTGCGCAGCGCACTTGGGTGCACTGGTGCCGTGATTGCAAGTACATGAGAAGCAGTGCTCAACTGAAAAGCTCGGACCACACCGCCCCTGAGTTGTGTCAATGGTGCTGACGACGGGTAACGAAGCCCGCCTCCTGAATGACCTTTCTGTTCCCAGCGGGTTGACAAAGTTGACCTCTGCCAGAAATGGACAGGAGCTACCCCTCCCTCCCCCCCCCCCCCGGGGCGTCGGCGCGTTGCAAGTAGACACAAGCCGGGTCTGTGCCAACGATTGGCGACAAGAGCATCAAGAAAAGGTACCAAAGCACTTCGAATGCTTAACCATCGGTTAAGGGACCATTGGCTGTCAATGAAGTGCTTGTGAGGGTATTTGCCGGTGATCTATCCGTGCATTGCTTTTGTATTGGTGGCAATCCCATGCTTCAATGTGCCTGTGGACGGTGGGAGATGACGAACGCCTGAGATGTTCCTCATCCTTATAGTCATGTCGCCTTAGTACCCATGGGTATGCAACCCCGGGCGGCGGGCTCATGAACTACCGCTCCCTGCGGAGATATGCTGGTACTAGTGAAGTTGGAGATCCGTCTCACTGGGAGACGGACGCGGTCGCCAAACCCCACGCCGCGCTCGCACCTGGGGCGCCAGTACGGCGGATATTTTTAGACGGGCCCGGCGCCGTCGGGGGAGGCACGCCTCTCCTCTCCAGACACGTGGCGAGTGAGGTGTGGAGTGCGCGGCGGCCACCTCCACACGACGTAAGCCCATCCCCTGGTGACACGGTGAGTCGACTTTCTCACCCGCCTCGCAGTGCGGTCGCCTCTGGCCGCCACAGAGCGTCGGCGCCTATCCGTTTGTCCGGTTGCCTGACGTTGCGGGGCGGGGCGCCGGCGTGACGTCACAGGGACGGCGGCGGGCGGTAGTGACTGGAGGGCACTGGGACGGAGGTGCGTCCGGCCTTGTGTCCGAGCTGTGGCCTCGTGCCACGCGTTCGGGCTGAGTCACATCCACTCCCCAGCATGGTGGACTGCATAAGGAGCCTTCCTGCTCGTCACCCACCAGGAATCTTCGGCCTTGGGAGCGTGTCTGCATGTGGGACTGCGTGTTGAATGCTTGGAAAAGCTGCACAGAACATGCATTCGTCGTGCAAACACCAGCACGTCACGATGATGAAGCCTTCGTGATGTCACCAAGCTGCCATCACATGCAAATTTAAGCGAGGCTGTCCGACACGCAACAGTTAACGTGACAGCAAAAACAACATTTAACGGGTCTCGCAGTGTCATAGCGAATAAACTGCTCGCTGTGCTCAATACCGGACACTAAATGCAGCCGTTTTTTTAATAATAAACACACGCAAAGTCACTCTAGCAGGAATTTGTGATGCCGGTCTCTAAAAACGTTTAACAGCGGGTACAAAACGTTGTTCTGGCACTGCTTGAAATGTGTCATTAGTTTATGTGACTAGATTTGCACTAGATTCTTTGAAAAATCCAGGTTTTCCACCGACGTTTTCGAGTCGCTCGTCAAGTGACACGATAATAATTTCTTACGTCTGAACTCGTGCTATTGAGGCCAGCGGGAGCAATGTCCGCTGACGCCGCGCGCACGATCCGTTTTCAGTTGCAACGTTTACAGACTCGCGATCAGTTGAAAGCCAAAGCTAAGGCTAGAACGTTTAAGATTACTAAAAGACACTGTTCACAATGTGCGACAAAGCCTCCAGTTTTATGAACATCTTGGGCACGATGTGCTCAGGATCGGTCTAGGCTCGTAATATCGAGTACGCTTAAATCGATTCAGCAACAACAACATTTTCTTACGTAAGTAGCCCATCAGGTCATCATATCAGACACTTTAAAACTATATCATGAGGCGTTGCGTGATGAGTAGCCACCCGTTATTCAGTATTAATCATTATGGATTTTCAGACATTCGTCAACGATAATACACTGACTCACTCACGACTGGGTATGCCATTGTCGTCCCCATGCTAACGCGTATAATACTATCGGCGTGTATCATACTACGTGTGTAAAATGTCTTCGCATATTGAAGCTTCGAGCGCTTACGGCATATACACATGTACATGTATATATATATATATATATATATATATATATATATATATATATATATATATATATATATATATATATATATATGACTTAACAATACAGCACAGTTCAAGAGAGCGTGGTAGGATGAAACGATGACAATAACAAAACTAATGATGGACACAAATCATTTTGTGGATAAAGTATGACTGCGTTCAGAATTCTTGCCGTGTTTCTAACAAAGACGGATTTTTTGGTTGAGAAAAGGTTTTTGCCTACCTTGTGACCCAAAACATTGAGTGGCTGTCACAACCTTCAAGAATGGGGGGGGGGGAGGGGGCAATCACATTGCGGCTGGCTGTAGGCTTAGGTTGTAACAGCGTTTGGTTTTGGACGCATTTTAGAATTATGTCTCGTGGAAGGAGTTTCCCGTAGGCTGCAACTCTAGTTCATGGAACGTGTCCACAGGTCACCACAGCAGTAAATCATGCTTTATTTTTTTTGCGGTTGCATGCCTTTTACTGTTCAAACGCTGTGAAGGGCTAGCGTGTTTGTACAAGTGCTGTGGACTAGCAAATTGCGCTCTTCCTGTGTCAGGGCACTAACTTTATATTTTGGCCATCGGTTAAACGTACCGGCCCTGCCTCACGTCCCCAGTCATCAGCCAATGCAGCCATCCCCAAAATACGCACAGCTGTGCGAATCCACTGTGGGAACTACCGATGCTGTAGTACGCTCAGCGACGTAGCTCTGTCCTGACCCCTCTCTGAGGCGTCAGAGTGCGGTTCGTCCGCCTTCTCACACTTTCGCCTCGCCGGCCGCAGACACTGTGCCGCGATGATCTCGACCGTCAGTCGCGGCGTTCCCATGCGGACAACGCGAGGTCAGGTCAGGTCAGACAGCAGGAGCGGCTGTAGCCCGTGCGCCTGCTGCTGCTGCGGCTGCTGCCGCTGCCTCAACCTCAGCTTTCTCAGGACCCGGATCGGCCTGCTGAAGCTGGTAGAAATGGTGAGCTCCTGATCAAACGACAGTTAGACGTCTGATTATTGTGGCCCTGTTGTTCGACTGCGATGGTGAAGTACAGAGCATAGTGCAGTGGCTAAATGCGTTTAGTTCATGTGCATGCACACATGAAAGGCAGAGGTGGTGACTGTCCTTTGAGGCGTGCTCGCCCTCACTGTCGCCCATATGAGGTGTCTCTGTGATAACGTCATTATATAGAATAAGTAAATAGATACATACTTCAAATACATTGATGATAAACATGATGAGCGTTAAGTTCACACCGACCGTCACAAGGTCAGAGCTCGGTCACGCTACGCTGCCGGCAGGCACTCGGCGGCATATGCCAGAGCCTGCTGATCAATTACGGCATCGGCTACTCCGCCTCGCTGGGTCACGCCTACTCGATCTTCCTGACGACGGCCTGCGCCTGCCTCTTCAGCACCGGCATACTGCTGCTCTGTTACCTGGTCTCCGCCCCGTCTGTGGCACTTATCCGACAGTCGATATTTGTGAGTACTGGATGTCTGTCAGGCAGTCAATGTTTGTGAGCACTGGACAGCCAGGTGTGGGGCAGGCAGCCATTGTTCGTGAGTACTGAGCGCCTGTTAGGCAGTCGTTGTTTGCGGGTACTGAACGCCTGTCAGGCAGTCATTGTTTGTGGGTACTGAACGCCTGTCAGACAGTCGTTGTTTGCGGGTACTGAACGCCTGTCAGGCAGTCGTTGTTTGCGGGTACTGGATGCTCGTGCGATAATCAAAGTTGTGAGAAGCTCGTCCTTAGCGCTCGCCAAGCCATCGTGTTTTGAAAGTGTCAGGAAAGCTTGTCCTCGGTGCTCATCAAAACTGTTGCTGTTTAGGTAAGGTACGTTTGTATGACCCGGTGACATGACAAAGACTGTTCGGCTGTTGAGCTTAACAAATTGTGTGCGTCTTGACAATCTCAACGCCATTAACAAGAGACATATTTGCTTGGGAATGTGTCGTTTTGCTAGATGAATGACATTTCACTGACTACCAGACAACCTTGTTGCTCCTCCGCATCCAGGACATCAACGAACAAAGGCGCAACCGACGCAGATCACATCCTTGAACGCAACGTTTTGGTGGCAAAGAGCGGGCAGGCACCCTTTGCGCTGTGACCCACCAGCCGCAGACGCGTCTACTGATGCTGCCACTGCGCGCCTCGCTGACTGGCTCTCTTCTCTGGCCGGCAGGAGACGCTGTTCAACGGCGTGGCGGCCGTGCTGTACCTGGGCGCCTCAGCGTTTCTTTCCTTTACCGTACAGTCGGTGTTGTGGCCACAGTATGTGGTGACTCCTTACTTCCAGGTGTATCCAGCGCTCACTGCCGCCTACGTGAGTCGCGTCTTTCCGTGGTGCCCACTCACTGGGCATGGCTTGGCTCCCCGTCAAAGTCTTGCTTCTTTCTTTCTGCTTCATTTCTGGCCCAAAATAACAGTGCGCATGCTCATGACCGGGAAGTTGTGACTTTCATGGCAATCATACGCGCCTAACGGCAAATACCGCGTACACTGAAGGTGAGTATTCGAATCTCACTATTGTTTGACATCCGCATGCCTGCATGATCCGCAGTTGGAACTGACGGGGCGGGGCGGGGAGATGAGGGGTGGAACTGGCTGCTGACAATTCAATACGTGAGATTTTGACATGCTTATATATATATATATATATATATATATATATATATATATATATATCTCTCTCTCTCTCTCTCTCTCTCGCTCTCTCTCTCTCTTACTCTCATTTGTCTAGTCTACTGTCTACTGTCTTCTGTCTTCATTTACGTACTTGCTCTGAAAAAAACTAACGTATCGCATTCACATAGTTTTTCACCAGAGGCCTTGTACAATCCACCCGGAAAACTCCTTCAAATATCCCAATCCACAATTTGAAACCGCAAATCCAGTGCTTCCGAAGGTTTGCTCCATTCAGTGCATTTACATAACAAAGGGAATTTTTGTTAACCGCCCAATGTTAACAGTCACCATCGCCTGTCAGCCACCTCCCAGCTCCTGAAGCCTCAGGTTCAGAGATTATTCAACTCAATCCACAGTCAACAATTCTTCACCCCTCTCGCGTCTCTGCTGGCAGTGCCTGGGCCTGGTCGTCGGCTGTGTCCACGGGTACGACGCGTTCCTGGCGTACCGCTGGTACCGACACCGGCAGTGACGTCACAGACGAAGCCACCTCCTCTCCGAGGGGGCGGGCGGATAATCCTCCCAGTGAACAGAGTTCACGCACCACGGCGCGCGTCATTTGTCTCATCGCCATAACGCCAAGACGCGACATATGGAGCAAAACATGCTCTTGAAATTTTCCTGTTGACCATGGTCACTTTCCGCGTACTTCTGTGGCCTAACTTGTGGTCTCGACCGCGGTAGGCATCCACCTGCACAAATCTCTTATTGAATATTTTATTTCTATCAGCGACTGCCGTGAGGTTTCTGTCACGCGATGGTGTTCGGCTTTCTGTCACGCGATGGTGTCCGGCTCTGTGTCACGTGATGGTGTTCGGGGCACGAAGACGTTGGAGACACGTGACTGGGACACCGCATGCACGCACGGAGGCACTGCGAGCGTTACGCTGTGAGAGTAAAACAGCGAGACGCTCAAATATTCCCGGAGCCGCGCATAAGAGCGAAACTGTCGTGCGCGACATGTTCGGGTGGTACTGCTTGCGATTGCAAAGCGTTGTCGTTTGCTCGCTTGTGAATTGTGTTGTTGCAATTTTCCACATCCGTATTACTCGCTAACCGTAAATCCATTTAGGTAGATCATCAAGTGAATGTTTTTGAATATTTGATGTTTACAAATACACGGTCTGTGGCACTTTCTCGTCTGCATCATTGGTAATGTAAATACTATGATGCGGACCTTAAAGGTTGCCGCACACTGAGAGGGCGCAGCTAGAATTTGCTACAGGAGTGGCTGCCATGATTTGAGGCGGGGATTAAGTTTTTTCGAGTCAGTCTCAGTGGTGTTGACAGTATCTACGCACTGCAGAATATTAGCAACCCCCCCCACCCCCCCACGCTAACAGAAAAAGTACCTAGCGTATCAATGAGCTATCGATGTTGGTTTGTTGTGGTGCCTTAACACGCGCTTGGGCGGGGGTCAGATTGACCCACCGAAGGTTTTTCCGGAATGATTTCCGAACAACGCGGCGCAGCCACGCTACATTTTGCATAGCTATATACAATTTAATGTCGTATCGTTTGGCACTAAAAAGTTAGATGTACTTTATTAGGTCACTGACCTACGGCAGGTCAAAGTCAGGCCATTGGTTCTGCGAAGTCAATGTCATGGGAATCGTTCAATCTGATGCAACATCGGATTGTTAGACGAAACTATACATCACTGAAATGCTTTCTTAGGCAACGCAACAATTGAATGGACAAATTGCGTTGACCTCAGGTCATTTTTAAGCGTCAGTCCAAGGGCAAAGCTTGCCTGATTCATTACTCCAGGGCTTGCTGTACGGCGTAGTTTCTGGTGCTCATTACGAATTTATTGATAACAGGAACCGCCTTGTACATCTTCCATGCACTTCTCAAAGGTCAGAATAGGCCACTGGCCTAAAAGGACCCAGGCCAACATTTTTTTTTTTTTAGGAACATACTGCCTGGCGTAATCGTTTTCACTAATTCAAATGCAAAACTAAAAGCAGTCTTGTATGATCTTGGTCACCATGACCTTCAAAAGGTCGAACAACGTCACTGACCCTAAATGATCAGGCGACCTTTGGTCAGAACAGGTATCTAGGTTCAGGGGGTACTTTGAAGACCAAATTGGAAATTGACTTTGTCAGACCTTACTTGACCCGAAGGTCATGATGTAGTCTCAAATTTTGACCTAAGTGAGTTCAGGTACAGGCCAATACACCCTGTAAATTTGGTGTCTCTAGCTTTCTTAATTTCCGAGATCTCTAGGCGTCAAACTGACCCCCCACCCGAGCGAAGGGTATCCAACCGGCCACCCGGGCGCGTGTTCATCAATTGTTTCATTTGAGCACCATGCATATTACTCGGCTATCCACCAGTCTTGTTTCCAATTACGACTGTTGGGCTCCACACATCGCTGCCCATGATAAAGCCTTTGATATTTGCTTACTTTCCTACCCACCAAATTCCGAGATTATGTTCATAAGTGTCGTGGTGAAAAATGCGCTCGAACTTACCTGATGGAGGATGGGGGTGAAGGGGAAGGGTTGCCTCGTGAGTTCTTGGCTACGCTACTGCTTGCGTTACATTGCAACCTGAGGTTCCACCTTGTGTTCTTCAGGATCGTTGCTTAAAGCCCCAATCACTGTTATTATTGCGTACTTACCTTCTCGTACGTACCCTTCTCAAATGCGGCAATTATTTCAGGTTTTTAACACCAGGCCTATGACAATACTCAGAGCAAATAACTTAAAAACATCAAAAACGTTGGAATCCTGTCATTTTTTGGAAATATTGCTCCCAATCGTGATCTGAAATGGCCATAATCATAAGCCAACAAACGTTGCTGCTCTTTTGAGAGGAAAATCCTGCAGATACCTTACATCATGCACGCAACTTGCATCGGGTCCAGATCGTCTATATATTGCGCCATCAGATAGCAGAAAATCCATCGTATTGCATTATAATGCTTGCGTGACTAAACCAGAGGCCAATGGAGCATAACGAAGGGCGATGCGTGGAAAAGATCCATAATTAACACGGACCGCACTTTCGGGCACCGGCGTCTTCGGCGATCACATTAGCGCAATGTGCTTTGACTTAACCGGGATTCGAGTCTGGTTCGCACATGGGCATCTGGGTGGTCCTTGCCACACTCCTGTCAGTGAGATCTTCCTAAATGCCTGAACATACGAGGGCCAACAAACGGAGAGCGTTACCAAACGCAGACCTCTTAAATAATTTAAGTCTTCTAAAACACTCCTCTGCTCCAAGCCGCTTTAAGTGCTACCATTTTTGGGACATAATATGCGCAGAAGTGACGCGCCAAAATCATACCGGCGTCAAAGTCTGAAGGCTACATTGTGCACGGTGTTATGGTACGGCATTAGGTGTACAGGTCTGGGTGTTCAGAAGTCATCAGGTTCGTTTGCCATCAGAACTTGGTCGGACATTGATGCCCCAAATAATGCAATATGCCAGTCCGCCTGCACATAAGCTATTGTTGCTGGTAACTGCCTGGTGCCAATCACAACGTTGGGAGATACGTGTTAAGCTTGCTTTTATCAGTTTTGGGCTGGTAACTGAGAGGTTAAAAGATACACATTGATTTAATTTTTTTGTGGGCAAGGATTATGACATGTGCAAAAATTAGATTGAATTAAGGGGATTGTAATTGCCAAACTGTGCAGGTCAGTAGTGCCTGTAATGCTTCAGTGATGCATTGATATCATTAGTGCCAAGGTAAAATTATGCTCAAGCTGCCTTTTTCATGACTTTTCAGAGTAGTTTTACACAAAGTTGTCACTGCAATATTTTAAGCCCTGAAAGCATCAACTGTAGGCATAGATGGCTGGAGACAGTTCAGCAAACCCATCACTAAGGGTTATGGCACACATCCAGTAATGCTTTGAGTACATTTAAGTGCTGCAGCATTTGATGCAACCTGTGTTGCCCTTTGATATAACCAGACCATAAATAAGTGCTGCTGCTGCCACCACATACAGGCCATCCTAGTCAACAACAGTTTTGGAGTACCTTATGTGACCAGTCCACCCAGCCATGGGTGGGTGGGGACAGGCATAGATGTAAGGCATGAATGTTATGGGTGTGCATGTTCTGTGACAGAAAATTACATTCCCTTGAAGGACCAGGGAGCAGGTCAATCAAAATCCAGTTTCACACCGCACCCCATTAAGAGAAAGTTCTCGGGAGATATATCTCCATATTTTATGAAAACCGATCATTTAGAATCACACCAATATGGTCCAAGACCAGTTTAGGCCCGGAACTGCATAAAAAAGCATTAATTTTATAACTAGATTGTAGGAGACATGGCTCATGCAACAGTTGACAGGCACTGCTTAGCTTGAGTGAGATACATTCACTTAAAAGTGTCTTACTGGACCTTTAAAAATGAAAATGATGCAATGCCTGCAATAAATCCTCAGCATCTTCTTCCCATGTATATGTCCATATTATTACATGTTTATGAATTTACCACTTCTTATTCAGATTATTTTTTGACTTGAGTGCAAATGTTATTTTGTGCAATTGCATTGAGATGGCAGGTGTGATTAAAGCTTGTGTGTGCACACTGACCCTGCTTCTGAAGTTTTGCAATCAAATTAGAATGCAGGATGTTTGCAGCTTCAAAAAAGCATCTGCTCCTTCACATGCTATTTGTTTATGTATTGAATGGCACATTTCCTATTTGTTTCAAAAATGAGTTCAGTAGCATTCCTAATGCTCTTTCTGCCATTGCACACTTCCATCTGCTCCTTCACATGCTACTTGTTTTTGCAATAAATGACACATTTCCTACTTGTGTTGCCAAGCCAATATGTGCACACTGCAAAACGGCTAGTATATGCCTTGTACAATTGCATAATTTCATTAGGTCAAGTAGGTATGCCATGTGCTCAGCATAAAAGCTAAGGCTTTATTATCAAACAGTAACATTTTCAGTTGCTGCACACATTTGGGCAATAAAAAACAATCCTGGTAAAGGAGGGCCCACATCAAAATACATGTTTGGATTTTCTGTCATTATGAAAATGTGCATGATTTGATATCTCTTTCACCAAGCCGAATTAATGGGTCCACCATGCCCTGTCACCAATGGTTATAATATTTATTTTTATTGGATTTCCACTAATGCCACAATGTCTGTAACCTATTTTCAGCCTAAATCTCACATGGTGTCGGATCACCTGAGAACATAACCATGAACACAGACCATGGAGCCACAGATGCTGATCAGCTGACTGCCAACACAGCATTTGTGGCCATTGATAAAGGTGAGCTGAGAAGTAATGACACACCTCTATGTCACATATTTTTCACATACCTGGAAGTACTTTTTAATTGCTTTGATTGCATGGAAGGTCATAGAAGTTATGTGCTAAACTGCATCAATTACTGTGTTGTGATCATACCAGCACTTTCTTGACTGTTTTTCTGAAGCTGAGGAACATTGTTTTTACACTGTATTCTTGATCTTCTTTCATGTGACCTATGAGGTAAATTTATTTGTGATACCTATTGGTGTGGTGTTGTTTTGATTAATCATGATTTAATACATTATGCATGGAAACTTATTTCATCTTTGAAGTGTGTACACACTGTGTGGTGATTGTGCCTGATATGATGTTCATGAAAAGTAATGTCAGATAATGCTAGCATTTAAAACATCTGTGTTAGTGTTTTACCTTTTGCCATACTTTGTGCACCCTTCTCTTTTTGGCAGGGCTTCTCTCAGGAAAAGTCAATGAACAAGTGGAGGCAATTGTCAAGTTTCCAGCTCTTTTTGATCGTCATCCATTTCCACTGCTGATCAACTCGTCCATGCTCAAGCTGGCGGATGTCTTCCGCATTGGGTCAGTGGCCAGGGTTCAGTTGTGAACAGGTTTTGCTAGCACTGGTGTCAATATAAAGGATGATATTGGTAAAGCATGAAATAGTTATGCCTAGAGTGGAGCTCATCAGCGAACCTGAAGCCGACCCGAAAGGTTTGCATTGCTTGGTACGCGGCGTTCGGGATGGTTTCATTCTATCGTTGTCAATGCTTGATTGTCTAATCTCTTGTGTAATCTATTGTCTAATGTCTTTTCTAATCATTGATGGCTGTTCAAAATCACACACTATGCTGATGTCTACAACCAGACCGCGGTAGCACTCCAGTGTCGAACTGAAGACCCGCGAAGCAATAAGCTGATGACGCGTTGTCCGACAGCTACGACGCCTGCCTGCTGACCTGGCCGACCTGACCCACTGACCTGGCCGATCTGATCCACTGACATGGGTGACCTGACACACTGTCCTGACTTGCTGGCCTGACCTGCTGACCTGGCCGACCTGATCTGCTGACCTGGCTGACCTGACTCTCTGACATGGCTGACCTGACCCACCACCCTGGCTGACCTGACATGCTGGCCTGACATGCTGGCCTGACATGCTGGCCTGACCCATTGACCTGGCTGACCTGACAAGCTGGCCTGACCTGCTGACCTGACCTGCTGACATGGCCGACCTGACCCGCTGATCTGGCCGACCTGACACCCTCACCTGACCCCCTAACCTACCCGACCTTACCCGCCGACCTGGCTGACCTGACCTGCTGATCTAACGCTCCACTGCGCGGGCAGGTCAAACTTCACTCGGCTCTGCATCCTGCGCGTATGTCAACAGAGCGAGCGCCACCTGGATAAGATCCTCAACGTGGACGAGGTCGTCCGCCGGATCTTCTCTGTCACTCACTCCAACGACCCTGTGCGTCCCCTGTTGGTGGCCGGGGGGTTTTCGGACGTTCTCGCGCGATATGACCTCTTTATAGTCCGCGTGTTGTGTTTTGGTGCGATGGCGTTCGTTGGCCATGTTTGATGCATTTGGTGTTTCATGTTCTGATGGCCTCTGATGGATTTCTGATGGCGAGCTGCGATGCTCTTAGTGCTTTTACGTCTCATGTTCGCGTTCGTAAAGCTGTGGTGCTCTTATTGTTGTTTATCTTGTGATATTCCTTCGATATTTGGCTCTTAGAATGAGCTCCAACCACGGGGAGCCACTCGGGAAGCTAAACCAGCAAACCACCGTTACTTTTTCTGAGCCTAAGCTTACTTCAGACCTTCTGGGCTTGTAGGGCTAAAACTGCGCACCGTACATGGCCAAGCGTTTAGAGCCATTGTCCGGAGACCGAAAGATCTGAGGCGTGATTGGTGCCACAGGAAGTCTAGCCCAGCGTCGACTATTGCATGACCGCACTGATGATCCCGTCAGTATCGCGCGTCGACAAACGGGGGCTGACGAGTGTCCTAGACAGGGCGGGAGTCGGGCGCCACGAGCCGATCCCGTCCGTGCGTCACCATACGACTGACGTCAGGCCGCTACGGACACCTGTCGCCACGATGTCCTGGCGTTACTCCGCCTGGACACTGCGGCACGAGGCCGAGCGGCCGGGTGGGGCGCCCGTTACCGCTGCCCGCCCGTGCTCCGGCAGGTGGCGCGCGGCCTGGCGCTCAGCACCCTGGGCAGCCTGAGCGCCATCATCCCGCAGCGCAAGCAGGTGCACCACAGCATCCGACAGGCGCTCGACTCGCGGGACCCGGCCGAGCTGGAGGCCGGGATCGTAGCCGCGCAGCGCTTCGCCGCCGTCTCCAAGACGTTCGCCACCAACATCAGCGAGCGCATCTCGGAGATGGTGCAGGGCGTCACCACGCCCGTCGACATCAAGCTCAAGCTGCTCAACATCCTGCAGCACATGCACCACGACACGCAGACGGCGGCCGCGGTGCGTGGGGTTGGGCTAGTCGGACCCGAGCGCGGGTCTCACCGGTCGACAGGTGCATTGACGGGAACTGTCATGATATGATCTGAGCTTGTGACCGTCGAGTGGTGGAGCCGATGGGCTGCACTTTCAGATCCAACCTGTGATAAGTATATCATTATGTAGTCTAACAGAATGAAGCGGTCCCAATGCTCTTCACTGAGGGCTGCGCGCGCGGTCCAGTTGTGGGTCTGATTCACTGAGGGCTGTGCGCGCGGTCCAGTTGTGTGTCTAATTCTCTGAGGGCTGTGCGCGTGGCCCAATTGTGGGTCTGATTCACTGAGGGCCGCGCGCGCGGTCCAGTTGTGGATCTGATTCACAGGGCTACGCGCGCGGTCCAGTTGTGGGTCTGATTCACTGAGGGCTGTGCGCGCGGTCCAGTTGTGGGTCTGATTCACTGAGGGCTGTGCGCGCGGTCCAGTTGTGGGTCTGATTCACTGAGGGCTGTGCGCGCGGTCCAGTTGTGGGTCTGATTCACTGAGGGCTGTGCGCGCGGTCCAGTTGTGTGTCTAATTCTCTGAGGGCTGTGTGCGCGGTCCAGTTGTGGGTCTAATTCACTGAGGGCTGTGCGCGCGGTCCAGTTGTGGGTCTAATTCACTGAGGGCTGTGCGCGCGGTCCAGTTGTGGGTCTGATTCACTGAGGGCTGTGCGCGCGGTCCAGTTGTGGGTCTGATTCACTGAGGGCTGTGCGCGCGGTCCAGTTGTGGGTCTAATTCACTGAGGGCTGTGCGCGCGGTCCAGTTGTGGGTCTGATTCACTGAGGGCTGTGCGCGCGGTCCAGTTGTGGGTCTGATTCACAGGGCTGCGCGCGCGGTCCAGTTGTGGGTCTGATTCACTGAGGGCTGTGCGCGCGGTCCAGTTGTGGGTCTGATTCACTTAGGGCCGCGCGCGGTCCAGTTGTGGGTCTGATTCACTGAGGGCTGTGCGCGCGGTCCAGTTGTGGGTCTGATTCACAGGGCTGTGCGCGCGGTCCAGTTGTGGGTCTGATTCACAGGGCTGTGCGCGCGGTCCAGTTGTGGGTCTGATTCACTGAGGGCTGTGCGCGCGGTCCAGTTGTGGGTCTGATTCACAGGGCTGTGCGCGCGGTCCAGTTGTGGGTCTGATTCACTGAGGGCTGTGCGCGCGGTCCAGTTGTGGGTCTGATTCACTGAGGGCTGTGCGCGCGGTCCAGTTGTGGGTCTGATTCACTGAGGGCTGTGCGCGCGGTCCAGTTGTGGGTCTGATTCACTGAGGGCTGTGCGCGCGGTCCAGTTGTGGGTCTGATTCACTGAGGGCTGTGCGCGCGGTCCAGTTGTGGGTCTGATTCACTGAGGGCTGTGCGCGCGGTCCAGTTGTGGGTCTGATTCACTGAGGGGCTGTGCGCGCGGTCCAGTTGTGGGTCTGATTCACGAGGGCTGTGCGCGCGGTCCAGTTGTGGGTCTGATTCACAGGGCTGTGCGCGCGGTCCAGTTGTGGGTCTGATTCACTGAGGGCTGTGCGCGCGGTCCAGTTGTGGGTCTGATTCACTGAGGGCCGCGCGCGCGGTCCAGTTGTGGGTCTGATTCACTGAGGGCTGTGCGCGCGGTCCAGTTGTGGGTCTAATTCACTGAGGGCTGTGCGCGCGGTCCAGTTGTGGGTCTGATTCACTGAGGGCTGTGCGCGCGGTCCAGTTGTGGGTCTGATTCACTGAGGGCTGTGCGCGCGGTCCAGTTGTGGGTCTGATTCACTGAGGGCTGTGCGCGCGGTCCAGTTGTGGATCTGATTCACTGAGGGCTGTGCGCGCGGTCCAGTTGTGGATCTGATTCACTGAGGGCTGTGCGCGCGGTCCAGTTGTGGGTCTGATTCACTGAGGGCTGTGCGCGCGGTCCAGTTGTGGGTCTGATTCACTGAGGGCTGTGCGCGCGGTCCAGTTGTGGATCTGATTCACTGAGGGCTGTGCGCGCGGGTCCAGTTGTGGGTCTGATTCACTGAGGGCTGTGCGCGCGGTCCAGTTGTGGGTCTGATTCACTGAGGGCTGTGCGCGCGGTCCAGTTGTGGGTCTGATTCACTGAGGGCTGTGCGCGCGGTCCAGTTGTGGGTCTGATTCACTGAGGGCTGTGCGCGCGGTCCAGTTGTGGGTCTGATTCACTGAGGGCTGTGCGCGCGGTCCAGTTGTGGGTCTGATTCACTGAGGGCTGTGCGCGCGGTCCAGTTGTGGGTCTGATTCACTGAGGGCCGCGCGCGCGGTCCAGTTGTGGGTCTGATTCACTGAGGGCTGTGCGCGCGGTCCAGTTGTGGGTCTAATTCACTGAGGGCTGTGCGCGCGGTCCAGTTGTGGGTCTGATTCACTGAGGGCTGTGCGCGCGGTCCAGTTGTGGGTCTGATTCACTGAGGGCTGTGCGCGCGGGTCCAGTTGTGGGATCTGATTCACTGAGGGCTGTGCGCGCGGTCCAGTTGTGGATCTGATTCACTGAGGGCTGTGCGCGCGGTCCAGTTGTGGGTCTGATTCACTGAGGGCTGTGCGCGCGGTCCAGTTGTGGGTCTGATTTACTGAGGGCTGTGCGCGCGGTCCAGTTGTGGATCTGATTCACTGAGGGCTGTGCGCGCGGTCCAGTTGTGGGGTCTGATTCACTGAGGGCTGTGCGCGCGGTCCAGTTGTGGGTCTGATTCACTGAGGGCTGTGCGCGCGGTCCAGTTGTGGGTCTGATTCACTGAGGGCTGTGCGCGCGGTCCAGTTGTGGGTCTGATTCACTGAGGGCTGTGCGCGCGGTCCAGTTGTGGGTCTGATTCACTGAGGGCTGTGCGCGCGGTCCAGTTGTGGGTCTGATTCACTGAGGGCTGTGCGCGCGGTCCAGTTGTGGGTCTGATTCACTGAGGGCTGTGCGCGCGGTCCAGTTGTGGGTCTGATTCACTGAGGGCTGCGCGCGCGGTCCAGTTGTGGGTCTGATTCACTGAGGGCTGTGCGCGCGGTCCAGTCGTGGGTCTGATTCACTGAGGGCCGCGCGCGCGGTCCAGTTGTGGGTCTGATTCACTGAGGGCTGCGCGCGCGGTCCAGTTGTGGGTCTGATTCACTGAGGGCTGTGCGCGCGGTCCAGTTGTGGGTCTGATTCACTGAGGGCTGTGCGCGCGGTCCAGTTGTGGGTCTGATTCACTGAGGGCTGTGCGCGCGGTCCAGTTGTGGATCTGATTCACTGAGGGCTGTGCGCGCGGTCCAGTTGTGCGTCTGATTCACTGAGGGCTGTGCGCGCGGTCCAGTTGTGGATCTGATTCACTGAGGGCTGCGCGCGCGGTCCAGTTGTGCGTCTGACCTGACGGTGTGGCCCGACAGGTGCGACAGCTTTGTCTCCGCCTCTTGCCCAGCTTTCCGTCGGAGCAGTTCGTCATGACCACGCTGAACGTGCTCACCAAGCTTGCCGCGCAGACACTGGTGGACATCCCGGAGCAGGTCGGTAGCAATGCTGCGGCTCCAGCGCACAGCGGGGACGGCTTATGGCCGGGTTTTCACTCCGCACGACTGGGCGACTAAGGTGCTTGCACACGCCAGATATTTAGAGACATCGTTGTCACCTTGCGGGATCAGACATTTTGTGTGTGTGTGTGCGTGCGTGCGTGCGTGCTTGCGTGTATGGGGTGGTCGTGATTAGGGCATTTCAATGCTGTCCACCGCAAGAGAGGCGCAGCCATACCGTATTTGTATAATTGCCTTATCCGGATGACCTGGTGCTGCGCAGGTCGGGTCTTCGCTGTACTGGGCGCGGTCGGTGTCGGGATCGTATTCCCACCATGTGTTGGCGACGCGCCTGACGTGTGTGACCTGCGGTTTGGCAGCGTTTGACGTGCATGCCTCGTCTGCCAATGGAGCGGCGTCGGACCGTGTGGTGAGAGCTGCGCCTGACCCCATGCTCGCCCGTCAGGTGGACCTGCTGTTGGGCTACCTGAACAACGACGTCCGCCGGGCGGTGAAGTCAGCCGTGCTGCGGGACCTGCTGGAGCTCTCCAGACAGGCGGCGCCGCTCTGGTCCCAGGTCAGGCTTCCCCCCTCCCCTCCCCTCGCCCGGTGAGTGCAGGGGGAGCTGCTGAAGCTCTCCAGACGGGCGGCGCCGCTCTGGTCCCAGGTCAGGCTTCCCCCCTTCCCCTCCCCTCCCCCGGTGAGTGCAGGGGGAGCTGCTGAAGCTCTCCAGACGGGCGGCGCCGCTCTGGTCCCAGGTCAGGCTTCCCCTCTTCCCCTCCCCTCCCCCGGTGAGTGCAGGGGGAGCTGCTGGAGCTCTCCAGACAGGCGGCGCCGCTCTGGTCCCAGGTCAGGCTTCCCCCCTTCCCCTCCCCTCCCCCGGTGAGTGCAGGGGGAGCTGCTGGAGCTCTCCAGACAGGCGGCGCCGCTCTGGTCCCAGGTCAGGCTTCCCCCTCCCCTCCCCTCCCCCGGTGAGTGCAGGGGGAGCTGCTGGAGCTCTCCAGACAGCTCTCCAAACATTCCCGCTGCCGGTGTCCTGGCGCCCAAACCGTACGCCTCCGATTACTGAAGCCGCCGCCGGTGGGGTCCCAGGAGAACCAGTCGTCGCTGATCGAGTTCGCCGCCGGCACGCGCTACACGGCCGTGAAGACGGCGGCGCTCTCCGTGCTGGTGTGCCTGGCCCGCTCGGTCTCGGTGCGCCAGTTCGACCTAGCGCCGCACGGGCCACTGATGAGACTCTGCCGCGCCGGCGCCTGCCACCAGGAGGCGCGCGTGGCCGGCCGCGCCGTCCAGCTGCTCACCGCGCTCGCCGTACACTGGTGAGAGCGCGTGCAGGGTTGGGAGGAAGGGGAGAGTGGGAGGGAGCGAGATAGGAAGGGAACGACGAGATGAGAGGTGGACACATGCAATGTTTGCACAGAATGGGTGCTTGTGTTGACAAGGCTGGGGTGATGAAAGGATGAGAATGCAAACGCTTCTTAAAAAGATTCCAGGTCAGAAGAATGGGATACTTCCGATGCTGGAAGTGAGGATAATACAACTATGTTGCCCTGTTAGAGGAACAGCATTGTACTGATTTGAAAGCTGTGACAAGGGGGCAGGAGTGCAGGGAGAACGATTCCGAGTTAATATTCAGGAGACCAGGACGTGGGCGATGTGGATGACCGTCCTTCGTGGATATCCCGTCCCACTGCAGCCGGTTGGACGAGGAAGCCAGGCCCCTCCCCATCAAGGGATTCCTGAAATGTAGCCCTGTCGCTGCACCCCAGGATCCAGCCATCCCTACGTGGTAGTCCGCACGTCTACCTGTGCCCCCTCCCCGCCCCCCTGCAGCCAGGAGACGGGCACACGGCCGGACGTGACGGAGGCGGCCGTGGCGGCGTGCGACTCGCTGCTGCTGCTGCTGACGTCGGCCGGCGGCGCCGACGGCGACCGGCGGCTGCGCGCGCCGCTGCGCTGCGCCGTCTCACTGGCGCGTGACGACACCACCGCCGCCCAGCTGCTGGAGTCGGTGGGCGGGCTGGCGCGCGCGGCGCCGCCCGGCCCGGCGCGGCGCGCGCTCTTCGAGGCGCTCTGTGCGGTCGGCTGCCGCCGGCCCCATGTTCTCGCGCCGCTGGCCTGGGACGTCATGGCGCTGCTCGAGGCGCCCGACGTGGACGGCGACACGGCGGTGAGACGGCGGAAGGTGGAGGGCGGTGGTGCGCCGTCCTAGCGGCCAGTCTCATGAAAAGTGGGACAGAATATGACAGTTATGGTTTTGGATGGGAGCTGTGCTCCTGTTCAACAGTTTGAGGCCGCTGTTTTTTCAACGTGATCTGCCCTTCATTCGTAATATGTAGTTGTACATTTGTACTTAAAAGGAAGTGTGCCATACGATGTCGGCCTGTTGTTCCAGTTAACAGTATTAACACACTGATCTGATCAGCTGATACTGCCTTGCTAATTTGGAGCCGACCTCGGGACTCCATTAGCGCTTGAGACACACCGTATCAGTCACCGAAACACTTCCGTTCTTAGCTCGTGTCGCGCACTCCATCCTTCAGACTTTGCTTTACACATCCCAGCGAGAGCCCGCACTACCATTGCGTCGATGCGCTTACGTACGTGCACGCCTGCCTGTCACTCAAGGCCAGTATTGCCGTCCCCTGCAGTGAGAACAGAGAAAGCTTCCTGCGGCGGCAGCTGGATCATATCCTTTTTATGCGAACAGCGCTGACGTTTAATGCTGGGACCACTGGTCAGCTGGCGCCGGGCCAGTGACAGAGGCCGCTGCTGTCGTACAGGTGCAGCTGTGCACGCTGCTGCTGCAGCTGCGGGTGGGCGGCGCCGACTGGCCCGAGCAGGAGCGGCGCGCCGTGCTGGCCGCCGCCGGCCGCGTCTCCCACTGGCAGGCCTACAAGGTGGCCCGCCAGGCAATGCGGTGAGCCGAGCCGGAGCCTCCGGACGGCCGCACTCCAGCGCTGTCTGTCTGGTGATGTGGCTCAGGTGCCGCCGGACGGCCCACCTCCAACGATGTCTATCTGGTGATGTGGCTCAGGTGCCGCCGGACGGCCGCTCTCCAACGCTGTCTGTCTGGTGATGTGGCTGGGGTGCTGCCTGACGGCCGCTCTCCAACGCTGTCTGTCTGGTGATGTGGCTCAGGTGCCGCCGGACGGCCCACCTCCAGCGCTGTCTGTCTGGTGATGTGGCTCAGGTGCCGCCGGACGGCCGCTCTGCAACGCTGTCTGTCTGGTGATGTGGCTGGGGTGCCGCCGGACGGCCGCTCTCCAACGCTGTCTGTCTGGTGATGTGGCTGGGGTGCCGCCGGACGGCCGCTCTCCAACGCTGTCTGTCTGGTGATGTGGCTGGGGTGCCGCCGGAAGGCCGCACTCCAGCGCTGTCTGTCTGGTGATGTGGCTGGGGTGCCGCCGGACGGCCGCACTCCAGCGCTGTCTGTCTGGTGATGTGGCTCGGATGCCGCCGGACGGCTGCACTCCAGCGCTGTCTGTCTGGTGATGTGGCTCAGATGCCGCCGGACGGCCGCTCTCCAACGCTGTCTGTCTGGTGATGTGGCTCGGATGCCGCCGGACGGCTGCACTCCAGCGCTGTCTGTCTGGTGATGCGGCTGGGGTGCCGCCGGACGGCCGCTCTCCAACGCTGTCTGTCTGGTGATGTGACTGGGGTGCCGCCGGACGGCCGCACTCCAGCGCTGTCTGTCTGGTGATGTGGCTGGGGTGCCGCCGGACGGCCGCACTCCAGCGCTGTCTGTCTGGTGATGTGGCTGGGGTGCCGCCGGACGGCCGCACTCCAGCGCTGTCTGTCTGGTGATGTGGCTCGGATGCCGCCGGACGGCTGCACTCCAGCGCTGTCTGTCTGGTGATGTGGCTCAGATGCCGCCGGACGGCCGCTCTCCAACGCTGTCTGTCTGGTGATGTGGCTCGGATGCCGCCGGACGGCTGCACTCCAGCGCTGTCTGTCTGGTGATGCGGCTGGGGTGCCGCCGGACGGCCGCTCTCCAACGCTGTCTGTCTGGTGATGTGACTGGGGTGCCGCCGGACGGCCGCACTCCAGCGCTGTCTGTCTGGTGATGTGGCTGGGGTGCCGCCGGACGGCCGCACTCCAGCGCTGTCTGTGGTGATGTGGCTCGGATGCCGCCGGACGGCTGCACTCCAGCGCTGTCTGGTGATGTGGCTCGGATGCCGCCGGACGGCCGCTCTCCAACGCTGTCTGTCTGGTGATGTGGCTCGGATGCCGCCGGACGGCCGCTCTCCAACGCTGTCTGTCTGGTGATGTGGCTCGGATGCCGCCGGACGGCCGCTCTCCAACGCTGTCTGTCTGGTGATGTGGCTGTGGTGCCGCCGGACGGCCGCACTCCAGCGCTGTCTGTCTGGTGATGTGGCTGGGGTGCCGCCGGACGGCCGCTCTCCAACGCTGTCTGTCTGGTGATGTGGCTGGGGTGCCGCCTGACGGCCGCTCTCCAGCGCTGTCTGTCTGGTGATGTGGCTGGGGTGCCGCCGGACGGCCGCTCTCCAACGCTGTCTGTCTGGTGATGTGGCTGGGGTGCCGCCTGACGGCCGCTCTCCAGCGCTGTCTGTCTGGTGATGTGGCTGGGGTGCCGCCTGACGGCCGCACTCCAGCGCTGTCTGTCTGATGATGTGGCTGGGGTGCCGCCGGACGGCCGCTCTCCAACGCTGTCTGTCTGGTGATGTGGCTGGGGTGCCGCCGGACGGCCGCTCTCCAACGCTGTCTGTCTGGTGATGTGGCTCAGGTGCCGCCGGACGGCTGCACTCCAGCGCTGTCTGTCTGGTGATGTGGCTGGGGTGCCGCCGGACGGCCGCACTCCAGCGCTGTCTGTCTGGTGATGTGGCTCGGGTGCCGCCTGACGGCCGCACTCCAGCGCTGTCTGTTCGGCGCCGTTGGTTGGATGGCAGATGTCATGTAATGTTGGCGCAGTGTGTCGGGTGACAGCATTTGGTTGATTGGCGCTAAGTGAGACCTAAGAGAGTGCTTAAGCCTAAATCTCTGTGATTTGTTTTTTATTAGAGCCCTTTTGACCAGAAACGATGGTTTCAGGGCTATGATATAAAATAAAATAGTTGACGGAGGGACAGGCTAGCATGTGCCTGGAGGGCCCGATCGCCGAGCTTCAACCCGGGCATGGGCGCTGGGTACCCAGTCGGGGTTCCCCTTCCCACGGGGCTCTCGGCCCACTCGTGGCTGACGCATGCAGCCTGCCCCGGACAAGCGGGGTGTCGCGAGGATGCAGAATGAAGCAAGACAGAGGATAAGAGGGACGGATATGACTCTGTGTAATTGGGCCCACCCTACACACTGGTGACCCCACCCCTCCCTCGTAAGTCGCACGTAGCCTCGTCGACCCTCGTCTCCACCGTCCCCCCTCACCTGTGCACGTGCCTGGTCGGCGCCAGATTCGGACACCACGGCGTGGCGGCCGCCCTGCTGCGGCCCACCCTGTGCCAGGTCTCCACCGAGCAGATGCACTTCTGGCTGAGCGCTCTGGTCGAGCTGAGTGAAGCCGAGGCGGCGCTGGTGGCGCCACCTCACGACGACCTGGGCACGCTCTCGGCGGCGGCGCAGCGGTACGCCCGTGGCCTCTCCGCACTCCGGGTGAGTTACCACCGGCTGGCGTCGGACCGTTCTGTTGATGGGTAAGAGCCTGTGCTCAATGGTAACGACCGCGGTCGCCTGGAATCCCCCGGGGCAGGCTGTGGCGCTCTGGATGCCAGTGACACTCATCGTACCTTTCCTGTGAGCCAAGGTAGCTGTGACAAGCAAAACTGACAGCTAATTCCAGCTGGCAAATATTTAACAACTGGCAGTTTGTACTTCCCATTTCCCTCTTTTCACATTTTTGGTACGCTGGCCGTCATTGCTTGGTATTGTCTCATCGGGAACCCCCGCGGAATGTCATCCATCGCCGGTGATTTGCGCGCGCCCGTCATCCAGCCCTGGACGTCTCTGGCCGGTCCGCAGGCCACCACGTCGCCGACGCAGCTGCTGGAGTTCCCCGCCGAGTTCTGCCGGCTGCGCTGGCGCTGTCTGCAGGCGCACATCCACCTGTGGACCGCGTGCCGCACCCTGCAGACCTCGCCGCCGCCCTGCGTCGCCATCGCAGGTGCCGCCGGCGCCCGCGACGACACGCAGCGCTCCGGCCGGGTCATCACCCAAGTAAGCAGGTCATCACCCAGGTACGCAGGTCATCACCCAGGTACGCAGGCCACCACCCAGGTACGCAGGTCATCACCCAGGTACGCAGGTCATCACCCAGGTACGCAGGCCACCACCCAGGTACGCAGGTCATCACCCAGGTACGCAGGTCATCACCCAGGTACGCAGGTCATTACCCAGGCACGCAGGTCATCATACAGGTATTGAGGTCATCACTCGGGTACCGAGGTCATTAAGTAGTTACTGAGGTCATTGCGCATGCACGGAAGACATTATGCAACTACAGAGGTCACTACCCGGGTGCATAAGTCATCACGCAAGACAGGAGATCGTGGCACAGGAACGGAGGTCATTACGCAGGTACGGATATCATAAGGCGGGTACGGACGTCATTACGCATGCGCGGACGTCATCACGCAGGTGCAGAGACCATGACGCGCGTATGAGAGGATGTTACGCATATAAGAGGGATACTATATATGTACGCTATCATCACCAAAGCATCTTTTGTGGTGACGTAGAGGGTGCCTCTAGAGGGTGCGGCGGCAGTGAAGTTTGTGCCGTGACGTTTTTCGGCGTTCTCACCGCTCTCTCCGGCTCCGTGCGCCCCCACGTCCACGCCATCCTCCTGTCCTCAGCTGCAGAAGTCGGGGGCCGAGTTCTCGGCGCTGGCCGAGGAGTACGGCCGCCTGTACCGCTCGTCCTTCGACGCCGACCCCGACTCGCTGGCCTGTCTGGAGCGGCTGCAGCGGTGCTGCCTCCTCGTGGCGCAGGCCGTCGACTGGGCCGTGCGGCGCGGGAACCCCGAGACATTCAGGTGGGTGGGAACGGAAGAGGGGTGGGGTGGGTGTGGAGGAGAGGGGACGAGGAAGCGCAATTACCGAGACGGGGAGGTGGGATGGATTATGTTGGTTCGAGTATCATTGGTCGCAGTCAATCTGACCTCTCCCATCCCAACTGCGATGCCGGTCTGACCCCGCTCTGCCGCGCCTGACCCAACCCTGGGCGCCAGTCTGACTCGTCCCGCCGCCGTCGCCAGCGCGCCGGCCGACCCAGACCTCTCGGCCGCCGTCGCCAACCTGGACGAGGCGTGCCGGCGCGCGGCGGCGCTGGTGGCGCGCGCGCACCAGCTGAGCGCCGGCGCGCGCAGCCTCGGCCACCACCAGACGGCAGCACTGCTAGCTGTCAGTCGACTGATGACCGGGGCGCCTCTAGGCTTTCCTCGCCGCTTCTTCCAAACACTGCAGAAGACTGTGATCTCGGTGAGAGGGGAGGGGGCCAGGGAGGCAGGCACTGGCGGGAGGAATGAGAGAAATGATGGGAATTGGGATTTCGAGAGATGAGACGAAGACCAGTTGGGGGAGGGTTCAGAGGGATGAAGAGAGTTGGGGGGGGGGGGGGGGGTATTAGAGGAATGGGACGGCCAGTTGGGGTGGGGCTCGGAGGGATGAAGCGAGTTGGGGGAAGGTTCAGAGGGATGAGGCGAGTTGGGGTAGGGCTCGGAGGGATGAGGTGAGTTGGGGGAAGGTTTATAAGGATGAGGCGAACAGAAGCATCTGCGAAATGGGGTGAATGACGTAGAAAGTGCCTACAGTTTGCTTCACAGTTCGTGTCGAAAACCATTGTATACAGCCGAGGAGGGCGAGGCTCGTTGTATTGTCTGAAGGCAGAGGAGAGGAAATGTGTACAATCGAGAAGGGTGGATGTATTGCTACAGACCTGCTCTGGTATTGTTCCTGATGCCTGAGAACACTGCCGTGTCGTTGCGGCGAGGTGCTGTGGCGATATGCTGTGGAGGAGAACGGGACAAACCGAGGGGTGCTCTCACACCTGTTGCTAATTTCTCAAACTAGGGATGTCTGAAGACACGGCCAGACCGTACCCAACTCAGCCGCCGGATAACCTGGGAGGCCGCAGCTGACCGAGCCGACCTGGTGTGGCCGTGCCTGCCCATTGATGGATCGGCCTGGTGGCCCAGTGACCCCAGCAGTGACTCGTGCCGTCATGACCGCCGTCACCCATCAGCCCCCTGACTCTGTCTGTCCGCGCCCGGTCAGCTGTCGGTGCAGCCGCAGCCGCGCGCCGCCACCGAGCTGGTCATTCCCCACCCGATCGCCAGTCAACTGGTGGTCAAGATCGACGGCGTGGTGGCGCACGGCCCGCGCGGCGCCGTCTTCCGCTCCATAGCGCGCGTGCAGCTCACCGTGACGGCCGCGCTGCAAAGCAAGGCCCCCAGCGACTCCAAGGTGGGCCGGGGCCGGGGCCGGGGCCGGGGCCGGGGCCGGGGCCGGGGCCGGGGCCGGGGCCGGGGCCGGGGCCGGGGCCGGGCCGGGGCCGGGGCCGGGGCCGGGGCCGGGGCCGGGGCCGGGGCCGGGGCCGGGGTCGAGGTCGGGGCCGGGGCCGGGGCCGGGGCCGGGGCCGGGGCCGGGGCTGGGGCCGGGGCTGGGGCCGGGGCCGGGGCCGGGGCCGGGGCCGGGGCCGGGGCCGGGGCCGGGGCCGGGGCCGGGGCCGGGGCTGGGGCCGGGGCTGGGGCTGGTACCGGGACCGGGGCCGGGGGCTTTGGCAGAGCCCTCCGCCGAGGTACCAGCGCGTGGGTAGGCAGCCGCCGGGAGGCGTGTGACGCGCGGCAAGTCCAGAAGTTGTTTAATTGATTGATTGATTGGTTGTTGATGATTTGTAGCTGGCTGGCAGTTTTGTGAGGGTCGTCTCATACGGAGGAGGTCACGAGATGGCACGAGATGGGTGACTGAAATGCCCAGGCGTGATTTGCAGTAGTGTACAGTTCTGGTCTCATGGCAGTGGCGATGTCGTGTCTGCGGGATTCCTTGCGATAGTGCCGTGCTTCACCCGTCCCCACCACAGTCGTCGTTTGAGAACAGGACGCGTCCGTGGAACACGATCTCGAGCTGAGCGCACTGAGTGTGTCTTGTATGGTGTCGCCGCTCCGCGCCTGTAACAGATATGACGCATGGCTCAGACTTGCGGCGAAGTCTCCCGCGCTTCCAGTTTCCCGCCACTCGATCTCTGCCCTCCGCGGCTGACCAGCTGTAGGGCGCGTCATCGCGCGCCGGCAGGTCACGTTATGCCGCGTGGCATACAGGTGGTGGCCGGGCAGGTGGCGCGCCGCACGTTAGAGACTAGCGCCGTCCTGTCCAAACGGCACAATTTGAGTCATGTGTTGTAGATGGTTTGCAAGCAGAGGTGCGACTCGTCGGGCTGGCTATACCCTGGGCACACACGTTTGGGCGCAAAATGGCCGCGGCCGTGGACGCGGCCCCAGGTCCAAGTAACAAGGGCTTGGCTGCAACGACATGCTGATTTATTGCCGCCATGAGTCGTGAACGTCATACGCCCAATGCAGTCCGCGCGCCCCAAAAGCTCGAATAAGCATAATCACTGCCATAAACCATAACCATGGTCTGGTGGAACCCTGCCGTGTGGTCCCGTGCACACCAGATAAGGTATAGCGTCACCCAATGTTGTTTGCTAGGGCTTTCCTCTCGGGGCTTCCCCTGACGTCAGCGACCGGTGACGATGCCTCCTCGCCGTCCGCGCAGGCCCAGGACACGACGATCTCGATGAGCCGCACGGTGGAGCCACACAACGACTACTTCCACGGCCAGTTCTTGCTCGACCTGCGCCTGCAAGGTGGGCACCTGCTGCAGCTGCATGCTTATGATCCAGCCAGGCTTGCTGTTCGGCGTCATGCGAGTTTCGGTTTTATTACGTTCTTATTCAATTCGTTATTCGGATTACGGGAGGGTAATACGCGACGTCGTTTCGTAGAACAGCACGTCTGTTGTATAGCTATTGGAATGGAACATCCACGCCAATATGTCGTTACCAAGGAGAACTATGGCAGTGTCCGTCGAAGGCAAATGGTGAACAGGAGCTAAGCTTGCAAACCCCAAGAGGAATCTCAGCACACGCGCTGCCGCAACAGCTGGATGCTTGATAAGCAGATGACGGGCGGTTTTGCCACCGACCAGCGGAACTCAAGGTTGATAATAAAATGTAGATAAATCACAAACCTAAAAAATCGTCTGCTGGCAGGCATTCACCTGGTGACGGTGGACGCCAACATCCTGGACGCGGACGGTATCCAGTGGCTGACGTCGTCGTCTCAGCAGCTGACGATCAAGGCGTTCGACGAGAGCCAGCCAAGCCGCTCCGGCTTCCAGCAGGGCAGCGCGGCGCGGCCCCCGCAGCACTGACCGCCGCGCCGGGCCCGCCGGCCGACCCCGGTCCAAGGGTCCAGCAGTCGGTCTGCGCTCCGGGGCCCTCAGAAGGCGTGGTTCGGACCAGGCCCGGCAAGCCCAGTGCTGCGAGTGCTTCATACGGAGCTCGGCTGCTGGCGTCACGTAGATGTGCTGCACGCCGGGGGCCAGCTGCTGGTTTAATGTGAATGCATTTCGTAGGGGCTGCCGCAATGCGGATGAGTTTCATGAGGGTCTGATCACTACGTATTGAGGTGTTTCCAGGGCATCTGGCCAGACGTTAGGTGGTCCATGCGTAGTGGACCGCGCGTCGAGTGAAGCGCTTCATACGGCGCCAGGAGTGCCCGGTCGGCCCGCCGAGCATGTGGCAGCGAATGGTGCTGTTTAAAAACTCACCCGACCCGGCGTGGGCTCTGGTGCCGACGGGGAATTTTTTCCGGCGACGTACGCCCCAACAATGTCGTGGGCGTTACAAAAACGTATGTATTTTCAAGTGACACAGAGTGTGCTCCATGTTGGCGCGTGCTTGTGGAGCAATACAGCGTGCCCTGAAAGGACGCTCGCTCGCGGCGCTGCGCTGAAGCAACACACAAAAGGACCGCGGAGAAAAGCGCACTGTGTGCCGGCGAATCCGCTCTCGTTTGTGGAAGGCATTTGCGTCTCCAGAACTAGGGCCCCACGAGATCTCACCCGCTCGTAAGTTAACGGATCGCCGCCAGATTATGCCAACGGAAGAAAAACACGCAACAGCGACGCGAGTCTGAACCAGACCAGGAGCGGCGCAGTTATCCTGGGCGCGGATCCTGAGGTCCCAGACACCCGAGGTAACCTGCGCCGCTCCCCCGCGACCTGCGACCCATCGACATAAGACCATCACTAATGCAACACACAACTGGGCTGGATGACAACGTGAGCCGGCGATGTGGCGTGACAAATGCACAAAAGGCGACCGGTGGAGGGGGCGGCGAGCGTAGGACAAAGCTTGGGGCGCGGCGGGCCGAGGTGGCGTGCAGCGAGTCGCAGAAGGATGGCGAGACAGGGGCTATCTCTAGCGCTGAGTCGATGAATGTACATATGATTTTGCCGGAGATCACTAACCACCGAATTGATGAGCATCCCACGGTGATGCAGGTACGAATCGACAGGTATTTACACATCAACTACAAACACATCGGTCTCCACTCTAAAAAAGGCGACCTGGAGTCTGTATGAAATAGGATGCGCACCACGCGGAGAGTGCCCGGCGGGCAGAGTGTCGGGAACAACACCAGCCGTACCAGTGACCGCGGGCTAACACGCCGCTACGAGCAATCTACACACACCGCTACAAAATTAATACGAACAGTCGACGCGCTGACCACTGGGCACACGCACCTGGCGTGGCATGTGAACCGCGTGCCGAGATGCATCATTCACCCACTCTCGTGATTCGTTTGGGTTGGTCGCTCTCTCGCGTGACAGAAGGTAGGCGTAACAGCTACGAGCGCGAGACCGATTCAATTATTGCGGCACGTGACAAGACTGTGGCATGGGCCGGCACCGCTCCGAACCGGAGGGGGCCAGCCGTCACGCGCTGGCGAGCGGCACGCAGACGCCAACATAGCCAGCCAAGGCTCCGTCCACGCGACGGCGCGACCGTTGTACAGAGGTGTTGAAGGATCGCATTCGCAAAACCACGCCCCCACCACACGCACCCTATCCACCACCATACGAGCCAGCGTTTGCACCACACGAACCTCGCCTCGGCCAGCCACCTTATTTCACGGGCACGCTCCCACTCTGCCACAAACCTGAACCTCACCACGCACAGAAACCCCCACCGCAACGCCTCCGCCAAACGTCACACACATGTCCATCACGGACATGCCCAACACGGAAGGCCCCTCCCGCGCAGCGCCCCAGCCTACCGCCACTCGGTCACCCTGACGTTCCCGCCGCCGCCCTCACGGCAGAGCGACAGCTCCCCTCTCCCCATCCACTCTCTGTATACTCCCACCCATCACACTACACTTTTCTGCATCGAGTCGGCGTACCGCGCGGTCGCCTCCTCTCGCTTGCAGACCCAGCCACTCCATCACGCCTCCCCGTCACGCATTCGTGCACCCGCTCACACCAGCGTCCCGGGCTCACCAGCGGGCGTCACTCGCCACCCAGCTCTCGCTCGAGCTCGGCGCCCATCATGCTCCAGTCCTCTTCGAGGTCAGGGCCGCCATCACTGTCGTTGCCGTCGCCGCCCAGCTCGTCGTCACTGGGCAGCGGCTCGCCGCGACGGAACCTCACGCTCGGCGACTCGTCCTCGCTCGAGTCCTCGTCCTCGCGCGCCGGCCGCTTGGCGGCGCGCGCGCACGAGCCACCGGCCGCCTCGTCGTCGCTAGACTCGTCGTCGGCAGCGCGTCGCTTGGCGCCGCGCGGCGCGCAGCCGGCACCGGCCGAGTCGTCGCTGTCGTCACTGCTGGAGTCGCCGGGCGGCGGCGGCAGCGGCGCGTCGGGCCGTGGCGGCGGCGTCTCGGCGCGCGCCGGCCCCGGCTCGTCGTCTTCGTCGGCGTCGGAGCCGCTCTGCAGTATGTCCTCCACCTCCTCGTCCATGCGCGCGATGTCGTCGGGCGAGAATGTCAGCAGCGGGTTGAGCGTCTCCTGAAAGCTCTGCCGACGCGTCCGCTCGCCCTCCGGGTCGGGGCTGGAGCAGTGCGCCGGCGGCGCGCGGCTCACTGCCGTCTCGGCGCGAAGCGGATACAACCGCTCTTCGACGCGTTCCCAGCGCTCGGCGCAAGACCACAGCCAGTCGAGCGTCACCAGCTGGATGCGCTTGGAGCGCAGCGCCTCGTTAACCTTGGCCGTCCCGAGCCGTGCGGCCACGAGGTGCGTAGTGAGCTCATCGCGCGGGCCCTTGCGCACGAGCTTCTCCTGCACCACGGCGCCCAAGTTGACAGCTACTTGGTACGGTCGACTGGTGCTCAGCTCGACATTGTTTGGCACGACGCCACTGAAGACGAGACGCACGCCCTTCAGTACCTTCTTCCGCACGTACGGGATGAGCAAGCGGAGGTCGGGGGGCTCGCGCGTGTCGCACTTCTTCAGCATCGAGTAAAACGCGCGGTGGATGAGAAGCAGGATGTCCTCCAGATGCAACAGGTAATCGTCTTCATCACGCACCTCGATCTCACGCGACACCTTGCCCTCTGGCACGGCACCATTGTTGACGCACCCCTCAGCCACCGGCGTCGGCTCCGACTTGGTGGCCTGGCTGCCCTCGGCGCGAGACTCGTCTGAGGTGGCACTATTGCAGGCGCCTACGGCCGGCTTGGACTCGCCGCAGTCGGAGCTGCCTTCGGCGGACGAAGGGGCAGCCTTCTCTGTCCCCCGCCCGCCGCCGCCGTCCGGTGACTCGCCGCCCGCCTCCCCCGAACTGCTCTGTGGCCGGGCCGACCCGCCGCCCGCCTCCCCCGAGCTGCCCTCTGCCCGGGCCGGCTCACCGCCCGCCTCCATGTCCTCTGGCCGAGCCGACTCACCGCCCGCCTCAACCGCACTGCTCTCTGGCCGGACCGGCTCACCGCCCGCCTCAACCGAACTGCCCTCTGGCCGGACCGACGCGCAGCCCGCCTCAACCGAACTGCCCTCTGGCCGGACCGACGCGCAGCCCGCCTCAACCGAACTGCCCCCTGGCCGGACCGACTCGCAGCCCGCCTCAACCGAACTGCCCTCGGGCCGGGCCGGCTTGGCCGAGGTGCCTTCTGGCCGGGCCGGCTCGGGCGCCTTCTCTGCGTCATTGGCGGTCGCCGCTTTTGTGCTGGACGGCCCGTCACTTGCTACTAGCTCGGCAGCAGGGTCTTCGCTGACAGCTGTTTTGGGGGCATCGTCAGAAGGCTCGTTTTCGTCTTCAGACAGGCTGAGGTCCTCAGTGAGTCCCTCAGTTAGTGCTGTGTCTGACACCTGGGGAAGGACTTTCTCATCTGAATCCTCATCATCAGTAAGGTTTGGCATGGAATCTCGCCTTTGGGCCCCTGCATTTGCACATGATGTTTCTGTTTCCTCCTTTTCTGGAGCTGTCTGGATGGTGGAGAAGTCAAAGCCCTCCTTTTCATCCTGCTCAGCCTTTTCCAGGCCTGGAGGAGCATTGATGTCTCCTGTGTGCTTGAAGAAGTGGTAGGGCTTCACATGGATCAAGTTGGGTGCATAGTTCCACACATCTTCCCTGTCATCAATGATGCACACCATGTTGTCACCACAAGGGAATAGTGCCCTGAGATTGGCTCTCTTGCTCTGTTGGTTGAAGCACTCATCTCTCGACAGTATCCGGTTGGAGAAGTATACACCTTTTGGGTCCAGGAACCCAGCAATGGTGTGAGCATACAAGCGGGCACCAAAGGTGCAGATGTGCAGCTCGTAATACTTTGAAATATTTTCCAGGAATGTTTGAGTGCCAGGACGAAACCTTGTGTGGTACCATGGTGAATTGCTACCATACAGCTGGAAGTGGTAGACATCCTTGATGTTTGCTGGTATCTCATCATTGGTGGTATGGATAAGGGTTTGATCTAAGTCCACCAGCAGCACAAGCTTTTTGTGCTTCAATAACAGCTCAGTATCCCTTTTGCCAATAGTCTCAGCCTGTTCTTTGCTCACCCTCAGCTCAGGAATGCTATGAAGCATGGCCACAGAGGCAGAGCCTTGGTTATCCTCAGTTCTTAAGTCAGCCCCACACTCTGCACACAAGTCCTTCATGACAACAGGGTGCTGGCAGGCACCCATCTGTGCAACTTCCAAGCCTGGATGAACAACATCTCCACTCTTCACTGTGATCTTCTCCAGGTTGCCAAATGTGTCACTCTTGAACTTGAGCTCGTCTGCTATCCTGTTAGCATTTGTGGCTTCTTGAGCAGGCACATAGGTGAACAGGATCGCACCAACAGACACAAAATCCCCTTCTTTGGCTTTCCACCTCTTGATGGTTATTGGTTGAGATCCTGAGTACTTTATCACCTTGTTGATACTCATCTTTGCAGAGCTTGGATCCACTCACAACATCCTCTGGGACCACTTCACCGATGAAAAACGGCCTCACATCGGCTGACCACTTTCGACAAATATGAAAATATCAAGCTTGTCATCTGCCTTCAGCCTCCATCTGCTCTCGCGCACACCCTTGCAAGACACCGCAAGCCACCCTGTCACAAGAATACCGCATAAATGTCGCCAATTTATGACTCAGACTTTTCCAAGACGCCCCACAAGCAGATATTATTCGGCAGAATACCCCTGACACAGCAAACGGTTCGGGCTTATGTTTGTTATGACGACGACGCAACGACAAGACGCAGCTGCAAATTTTGCACCGCTTTCGAAACAGCTACACAACATTTGTCTTTGGCGCAGTATTCCGTGCCGCATTGATGGGTATCTGTACGAAAGGTGCTTGGAGCTAAAACGATATAAAATATTGAACTGCTTTAATCGATATTTATCATGAAGTATAAACCGCCCAATATTAAGGTTGGAAGGAAAATGTATTATGTATAAATGTCATATGCATATTTTTTATCTTCCTGATATGTCCCACATTCTCATTGGTCAACTCGTTTGTTTACATTTGGAGCCCCCGCGCGGTTGCTACGGATCTCGTGGGTTTCCGATGCGGTGTACCGTGGAGTGTGGCGCTGAGCTGGGTGCGGGGGAAATTGTGGAAGGAAGAGGTAGTCATGTTACAGTGAGTGTGGTTTTTGGTGCTTAAGCAATTTGTCTCAATTTACCCACATTTCACCCTGAACAACTATGCGCGCCACGCGATAGGAAACGCCGTATCGACGGTGTGGCAATCCCTGATTGGTCATGCTCGCGTTTCAGCCGCGTTTCAGCCCCTACTCTTGGATTTGAGCTGGTTAGTCGATACGTTCACAATGCTTTTTGCGGTTTTCAGTTGTACAGGAGTTTTGGAGGACACATTTCAACTCAGTATGAATAAGAACTAGGGAAAGTGGGCATATTAGAGTTTTTCATTGATAGTGTTCATTAGTGAAGCCTTGATGCCTCAACTTTTCTGAGTCTTAGAACACAAGTGCTTGTGCCACTTGTACATGTGTATATATGTGTGCCAAAGCTGCATTGTATATGAATGGCACATCAACATCATGAGTGTTTCATGGTGTGGTCAACCATCTATTGCACTGGTGCAGGCTGCTTACCATAGGCACCCTATATACTCATGGGTAGCAAGTCAAAACCCAGTAGATGGGTTGACAGAGTCATGTCCAAAGATGAAAAATATGTGCTCATCAGTGTCTGTTATAGTTTTGAATGTTGATTTCAACATGAGAGATGTTCCAAATCATTGATATCTAAAAAAAAATATTATGGACCTCATGAGGAATCAAATGGTATGCTAGCAACCTACTATGATTTATCTTGATCTGTCTTGATAAGCCACTTGATCTGCACTATTTGACAGTGCTGTAATTCATGGATGTTCCTTTAATGTATTGTGCTGCTAAAGGACTGGTGCCAGATGTAACAACATGGTTTCATCAGTTTCTGGAACATTTCAGGTCAACACATTAGGTCTAGGCACATGTTTGCTTAGGGTCATAATTTGTTGTTATTGGATTCATTGTCATATCCAGATGCCTGCTCATTATCACAGATGAGTCTGTACTGTTTCCTTCTCAGTAGGCCCCTGCCATGTGGTACAGTTATCAAACAATCTAGAACTCACTGTTTCAGTAATCCAAAATCAGCAGTTTATCCTGGCATATAGATAAGTTAAGTAACTTGCAATGCACACCATTATAAACCCAATGCTAATCACCTCAATGTTGTTATTCTCAGCAGGCTGATCCCCAGGCACCAGACACCATGACCCATTAGGAGCCTTGCTGCCATGGAGAGCCCGGCAGTGTGCTTGGGTGAGCATGCCATTGGTGCATTCCTGGACAGCTGCTACAAGGGTGACCAGGCAGCCATTGTCACCCAGCTGGAGAAAGGTATGCCATGGGTCATGCATGCTTGCACCACTGCACCCAGAGATGGATGGGAGTGCTGTGCAGGGCTGTGTGAGAAGCTGGATGCATGAAGGACTGGGAGGTCAGGTTGGATATGGTATGGATGGCCTGGAATATGCTACTTGATATCAAAATTATTTTTCCATCTATGGTGAATATGCCACATAACTACTGGAATCTGGTCACTCACTGGCAGGTTGATGGGATGGTAGATCTTGGCTGGCAGCTACTCTTGCTGCCACACCTGCTCCTTCATTGCCCGCAATCCTAACATGGCTGAGTATCCACATGAAAGCGATTCTAGCGTTTTGTTGGTGTAAATGGCAGAGTGACCCCCTAGCTTGTATCAGGTAGGAGTGATGACAACCTTGTGGATTTGAATCTGATGATACAAGGACACCCAGTGATTCCTTCAAAATCGGATCCTGCTCCAAGTCACATTGGATGCATTTCCACGCCATTAAGATTATCAAAGCCTCTATGGAGAACACTGCTAGATGCCCTGTGACACGAACACCTTGCTTGACGTCTCCACAAACGAATGCACAACCAGCGCGGGCGCGACTTTTTTAAACTGTCAGTGGACATCTTCCCAGGGAAAGCTAGACCCTCTCTGCTGCCAGGCTGGCAAACTCCTGTATAGAAATGCTACCTTTTTTACCGGCGAAGTTATAAATCAGACTACAGATTTTTGTCGTCACCGAGCCAGATCGTAAAACGTGCGTAGGGCGATTTCATCGAGGCGGATGCCGGCCTCGCCCATCATATATCGCACGTGCAGGCATGTGTTCTGATGAAGTGTTTCGTCCTTTCAGAAAGAACACGACCAACATTTTTTAAAGACTCAGTTTTAACATGCTCTGGTGTGGACGTGTTATAGTGACTGCATGGCGGGCGAGACACACACGCATTTCCGTTCCGTTTCGGATCGGCAGGATGTTGGGTCAATGTAGATATGGCTGTCGAGAGTCAGCGCGGTTAATGGGTTGGATTCAATATTTTTTCTTTTGCGTGAGTAGAAAACTGCGTAGTTTCCTCCACAACGTGATAAAGCATCTCGTGTTGCAAGCCTGCGATCATAACGCAGCAACACTCCTGCACGTATTAGCCTTTACCATGCTCCTCTCGGATTCCGGTTCACTTGAGCTCCTCTAGCACTGCGGCGCGGTGTGCTGTTCCTGGGACTCAGATCCCATGTCCATGAACCTCAAAACTGGGTCGTGTTTCATCGGCCAGAACGACACCAGAATTAGCTGTGAATCCGAATTTGGATCTGAACTGCGGTCAGGTGGTTTCGTAAAAAGTTGCGTGATTTGAAGGAGGCATTTATATGTATTTCAACATTCGATTGCCGAAATCCGTACTCGGATGCTGCCCAGATCGGGTTTACCAGCCGAATATTACATTGTTTCAAAACCTTACTCTGCTGGAGTATTTGCCAGGAGTCTCCACTTGTGCTTTCCTCCAGCGACCGTAGCTGTTGTCGCACACTGAAACCGGGCCAATGCCTGTACAAGTTCAGCCGCTGTTTATTGGCGAGGATGCTCGGTTAAAGTTTACTATCGTCATAACGCACACGCACGGTTCAGTCCTGCTGCTGCTTCAACGATAGGGTTGCAATGCGCCGCCCACCCGGCCACCCGCTGGACTCGGGGTGCCTGGTGGGCGGGTTGCCGTTATTGGGCGCTCTTGGACAGGTTGCCGCTGTTCGGCCCTGCTGGCCAGGGTGCCGTCGTGTCTGTTGGGCGCTGACCGCTGCGGAACTTGTCATGACTCAGTGTTGTTAGGCCCCGATGACCGAGTGAAGTTAGGTCCGGGCACGATTTGTTGCATACTGTAGGCAGAAGTTTAACTCGCGCCGGGGCGTACCGTGCGATGGTAACTTCGATGCCACGGCTCCTCGCCCAATTTAAACCGAGCTTTGAGGCTGCAATTCCGTAAAGCCAGCCTTCTTTTTTGAGGAACGCGACGCACGTCGTCACGTCCTTGTATGGAGCGCCAACGACCGCACTGCCATTATTGGCGCTCAGAGACCATGGTGCAACCGGGATCCGAACCCGGGTCGCCATGTGGGAACCCGATGCGCTAACCCCTCGACCGTGACGCCCCCTTACCCGTGAGGCCAACCCTGGAATGTATTCTTAGGTGTGGATGTCAGTGTATCAGGCTGCGGGAGCTAACTTCCAATGGTCCCAGTACGTACAGCCGCTGTCTTCCTTAGCTGCGCTCTGGTGTCAGCGACCGTCCACCACGTCCCCGGATGTGGACGTGACCGTCCACCACGTCCCCGGATGTGGACGTGACCGTCCTCCGCGACTGCAGATGCGGACGTGTCAGTTCTCCTCCACGTCCCCACGCGTAGACGTGGCCGCCGTCCAACCCCGAGGCGTAATTGTGACCGCGCTTCTCCGCGTCGCCAGGTGTGGACGTGAACGGCTCGGATGCCGTGTACACCACACCACTTCAGGTGGCGGCCGCCTCCGGCCACGAGGGTATCGTGCAGCTGCTGGTGGGGCGCGGCGCCCGGCCGGACGCGACCAACTTGTACGGCTGGACGCCCCTCATGCACGCGGCGCGCCACGGCCACGCCGGCGTCGTGGCGCTCCTGCTGCAGAGGGGCGCCGACGCCACCCGGACCAACCGGCTCGGTGGGTGATTGCGGGGGTTTGATGGTCAGGGCTGCTGCAGCGGGGCGCCAACGCCACCCGGACCAGCCGGCTCGGTGGGTGGTGGGCGGGGGTTTGATGGCCAGGGCTGCTGCAGCGGGGCGCCGACGCCACCCGGACCAGCCGGCTCGGTGGGTGGCGGGCGGGGCTGGGCTGCTGTCAGGGCTGCTGCAGAGGGGCGCCGACGCCACCCGGACCAGCCGGCTCGGTGGATGGTGGGCGGGGGGCTGATGGTCAGGGCTGCTGCAGAGGGGCGCCAACGCCACCCGGACCAGCCGAATCGGTGGGTGGCGGGCGGGGCTGGGCTGCTGTCAGGGCTGCTGCAGAGGGGCGCCAACGCCACCCGGACCAGCCGGCTCGGTGGGTGGTTGCGGGGGTTTGATGGTCAGGGCTGCTGCAGAGGGGCGCCGACGCCACCCGGACCAGCCGGCTCGGTGGGTGGTGGGCGGGGGGCTGATGGTCAGGGCTGCTCGGCGGCCGGAGCATCGGTCGGCTGGGTGTTTTCAGGGTGAGCGGGTGGGGATACGTACAGCGTGCGCTAGACAACAGCCGCTCGCCTGCATTTGGCGGTGGTTTATGTAAGTTGGGTATTCGGCTGATTCATATTTTTTTTTGAAGCAAGAGGACAACATGCAAGTTATGTTGTGGAGCATAATCATTGCATGCTTTTTGGTAAAATGATGCAAGTAGTGACGTCATCATTGCCGTTTCTCGCTGATCACAGCGTGGGTGACAGTCAGTTGGTGACCGTATGGTCAGGGGAACTGGGAGGATGGTCCGGGGAAGCTGTGAGAAGGGGCGGAGGTCAGTAAAGGGAAGGGGCAGAGGTCAGCCGTGAGAAGGGGTGGGGGTCAACTGTGAGGGGGGAGGGGGGCAGCTGTGAGAAAGAGCGGGGTCAGCTTTGAAAAGGGAGCAGCCGTGGTAAGAGGCGGGATCAGCTGTGGGAAGGGGCTGGGTTCAGCTGTTAAAAAGGGCGGGGTTCAGCTGTGCAAAGGGGTGGGACCAGCTGTAGGAAGGGGGGGGGGAGGGTCAGCCGTGAGAAAGCGTGGAGTTTAGCTGTGAAGAAGGGCGGAATTCCGGTCTGGAAGGGGCAGGGGTCAGCTGTGAGGAGTGGCGGGGTCATCTGTGAGGGGGGGGGGGGGGGCTGTTAGCTTTGAAGCCAGCGAAGGCTTTGCAAGTCATTCGGCTTTTGCTCGTAACTGGCATAGCTATATAACCTGCATGGTATGGTATAGCATGCATAGCATGGTAACGCAACATAGCTGTATAGCATGCTCGTAAAAGTGTATTTTAACAACGTTCTTTACTTGATATTAAGTTAGGGAGGGATTCGTAGTAGGCCGAGTTTGTCACTTTTTTGAAATGGGAAGGATGGTGCCGAACCACGAACAACTTCAACGTGAAGACAAAGCTACACTAATCAATAAGAACACTGCATGCTAGTGGCAGCTTATGACACGCGCTGGTGCGGTCTATCGGGCGGCAGGCGACTTTGCCAGCATCCAGGAGTCTCTCAAATAGGAGAGGGTGGGGTGTTGTGTGGCTGTTGTGTACGTTGTAGGGTTTTCCAGGGCCCGGTGCGTGACACCCACCAAGGTGCCTTCAGATTGCGTTATTCCCTTGCTCAGTTGAATGAATTGTTTTCCAGCTGTAGCATGACACCTCCACCGACCAATGCGGTGCAGCCCCCTGCTTATTCCCCCCCCCCTTCCACAACGACGACCCCTCTGACTTCCCCCTATCTCTCTCCCCACTGATTTTCCACGCTTACCTCGGACAGGGGCGACACCTCTGACTCTGGCGGCTGTCAGTGGTCACCTATCAACCGTACAAGCGCTGCTGGACGCGGCGGGCCGCGAGCCGCCGACGCCGCCACCGCCGCCGGCGCCGCTGGAGAGCGAGCAGGCCGCCCTGGCGGCCGAGTGCCCCCTCAGCCCCACTCTGGCCGCCGCCCTGCACGGAAACAACTCGGTCCTTAGGCTGCTGCTGGACCGCGGCGCTCAGCTGGGCACGCCCATACCTGACACGGGTCAGTAGAGACGCGACACGGGTCAGTAGAGACGTGACACGGATCAGTAGAGACGTGACATGGGTCAGTGGAGACGTGACACGGGTCAGTAGGGACGTGACACGGGTCAGTAGAGACGTGACACGGGTCAGTAGGGACGTGACACGGGTCAGTAGAGACGTGATACGGGTCAGTAGAGACGTGACACGGGCCAGTAGAAACGTGACACGGGTCAGTAGAGACGTGACACGGGTCAGTAGAGACGTGACATGGGTCAGTAGAGACGCGACACGGATCAGTAGAGACGTGACACCGGTCAGTAGGGACGTGACACGGGTCAGCAGAAACGGGACACGAGCCAGTAGAGACTTGACACGGATCAGTAGAGACGTAACACGAGTCAGAAGAGGCATGACACGAGTCAGTAGGGACGTGACATGGGTCAGCAGAGACGTGACACGGGTCAGTAGAGGCATGACACGAGTCAGTAGGGACGTGACATGGGTCAGCAGAGACGTGACACGGGTCAGTAGAGGCATGACACGAGTCAGTAGAGACGCGGCACGGGCCAGCAGAGACGTGACACGGGTCAGTAGAGACGTGACACGGGTCAGTAGAGACATGACACGAGTCAGTAGGGACGTGATATGGGTCATTTGTGACATGACACGGGTCAGTAGAGACGCGGCACGGGCCAACAGAGACATAACATGAGCCGCTTGAGGCACGGCACGGCTTGCTGCAGGTAGTGGTCGGTGTGTGTATGACATGGGTCGGCACAAGTGTATCATGAATCAGCACAGGCGCGACATGGGCCAGCACGGTCACGGGATGCGTCCTTGGGAGCGGCATGAGGCAGCACGGGCACGGGATGCGTCCTTGGGAGCGGCATGAGGCAGCACGGGTACGGCATGCGTCCTTGGGAGCGGCATGAGGTAGCACGGGCACGGCATTGATATGGACGAACCAATACACTGGATGGTGGTGGGAAATACTCCTCCCCAATCGACCTCATTTGAAACCATGCACGGGCAAGGAGTCTGTCAGTGTTTTTGGTCATGTGCATCCTATCAAGGCCACCAGACAATGCGCAGTACTTTGCTCTTTGCAAAGCTTGCCTGCAACCGGCTGCATCGTGGTGCGGTGCTGCATTTTCTTATCAGAAGTCGATCCAGAATTTACTCTGCTGTATTTGCACAGTGGAGCTTTGCGTCTGTCAACAATGAGTGGATACTCTTACGAGGTCAACGGGCTCGTGACCCTCCCTCCGCGCACACTGGTCGACATTGAAACCCTGACCGGTGTCTGAATGCAGGCGGGCTCAGACACTTAGAGCGGCGAATGACCAAAGGCGGACATTCTGGGAATTAAGCGTCCTGACAAATTGGACGTTTGCATGTGACAGTCGATTTTAGTTCAGGTCGTTAGAGCCGTGGTTTGCCGGAACTGTTTTCAGCGTGGCAGCACGCGCTGCACCTCGCAGTAAAAATTCAGTGGCCATGAACGGGTCCAGCGAACTGGTCTCTTTCTTCCGGTATTCAGGTCACGTAGGTGTGACTTCTCAGAAACAGCGCATAATTCAGCCCACCTGCACCCCCGCATGTCCATTTTCCAAGGTCCACGCGGCCCAACGCGTCCATCTGTCGGCGTGAGCTGCACTCACCAGTTCGCCCGCCGGCCGCCGCAGGTGTAACGGCGCTGATGCTGGCGGCCGTCGGCGGCCACCGGTCGACGTGTCGCATCCTGCTCGAGCGCGGTGCCGACCCGAACGCGCGCAACACGCGCGGCGAGACGGCGCTGGACATGGCGCGCGTCACCGCTCAGCGCCAGGTCTGCCGCATCCTGGACGAGCACACGGCCGAGCCTGATGACGCCACCGGTGAGCGATGACGTCACACGGAGGGGCGGGGCGCGAGCTGCTCCTCAGGCGACCGTGGTGACTTCACATGGAAGGACGGGGCTCCAGCTGCTCCGTAGGTAACCGCGGTGACGTCACGTGGAGAGACAGGGCGCGAGCGGCCCGCCAGGTGACCGTGGTGACGTCACGCAAAGGGGCGGGGCGCGAGCTGTTCCCCAGGTGACGGCGGTGACGTAACATGGAGGAGCGGGGCGCGGGCCGCTCTGTAACCTGTCTGTGTGACCCACTGATAATGTTAGTTTAATATCTGAATAAACGACACTTTGTTGGTATATCAGTACGTTACAGCTCATTTGGTTATTATGACATAATAGACCACTCTTATCTATCCGACCATCAGACCCCCCATTTCTCGGACTGCGGACTGCACGAGGTCTGGTCTGGTGTGGGTCTATCCCTCTCTGACCCGTCTGACCCCTCTCCGTCTGACCTCCCTCAGACTGTGGACTGCACGAGGCCGTGCGTCGACACGACGTGCGGCTGGCCGCGCAGCTGCTGGCACCTGGCGGCGACCTGGTGAACCAGCTGACGCCGGAGGGCGGCTCGCCGCTGATGTTGGCCGCACTGGATGGCGATGCCGAGATGGCCGCCCTGCTGCTGCGGCATGGCGCCGCCGTCAACCAGCAGGACCCGAGCACCGGCTGGACGGCGCTCATGCAGGCCGTCTTCCACGAGTGAGGCCTGACTGCGTGCCCCCTCCCCCCCAAGTTCGTCGAGTTAGCTGGCAAGGATGTCAAGAGGAGTTCACGGCGCTAGAGTCCCACGTTGGACATGAATATTGTATCGGTTCTCTCGCCTCATGAGAGAGACCAATCAGAAGTGAGCGGAAGACGTTGCCAGGCGGGCGTCCAGCCGCCGCAGGCAGTGCAAATTGGTCGAACAGGTCGCCGGTAGGATGGGCGAAGCGTCCAAGGTTCAACTGAGTGAAAGCCAGTAACCTAAGGTGGCCAGTCGGTGTCGCGGCAGGAATAAACATGATACCTGCATGTCGGTATACATAATTCACATGCGGACGACTTGAAACCCTGACTGACGTTGTCGAGGGAGACCCGTGTCCGTGCAGATCTCGGGAGGCCGCGAGATCAGTGCTCGGGGGGGGGGGGGGGAAGGGGAGGACGAGATGTTGGCCCTCGGGGATCTCCGGAGGCACGCTGTCTCGGACCTCATGTGGAAACATGCCTCCTCAATCCCTCGTGGATGTGGAAGATGGGGTCTGTTGATGGGTTTGAGAAAGAGACTGAATAGGAACTAGGCTTGGGGGATCTCGGGAGATAAAACACCGGGTAGATCTTGGGAGATCGAACACTCGGAGGTCTCTGGATACATCGCCTCTCGGGGATCTCGGAAGGTGGCATATTGGCGGGCTGCCGACTGAAATTCGTTTCCAGTGAGGGAAGGGGAGGGAGCAGCACTAAAATGGGAGGTGATTCACAGACCGTGCTCCGGATGTTGAAACCTCGTAGGCCATTCTTAATGTTCCCGGTAAGTGAACCATGCCTGTAGTTTGTCCGCGGAGCTGCTCAATGGAGACAGATTGGGTACTACGTTTGATATCAAGGCACGCCATCTTTTACAAGTGACCTCTCGGGAAATCAGTAGTAAGACTGACCTAGAGTAAAAGTGCAGTAACGGGAAGAGCAACGTAGTGCTCATTCACACATCTCAGACCAGCGCTGTCTGATTCGCCTCCTCCGCTGCGACCAATGGTGACCAATGACCTGAATTGTCCGCCTTTCGCCAGCCACGCTGCCATAGTGAAGATTCTCTTGACGGCTGGAGCGGACGCCAACCTTCGCGCCCATAACGGCTGCACTGCCTTCGATCTGGCATCGCTCGTGGACAGCAAGCCGGATATGGTGGGTCAGCCCTAAGGGCCGACCATTAGCGCGCGCTATGGTTCACCCGGTCCGCGCGTGACGCACTGGTCATTAACATTGTCAACGCCGGCCTCTGATCAATGTCACATGTTCCAAACGCTAAAAAGGATAGTCCATTGCCGGTTTACAACAGTGCGATGGCTTAAGACGGGTGTATCTATTTATATATGGCTATGGCCTCTTTCCATCAACCTGCAATTTTTCCGTGGAACATCTAGAATGAAGCCCAATCGAGTTTTGTTTCGTGTTGCATTGCGTGCGTGCCCTGAGCTGTTGCTACTGGGACAGCTTAGAAATTACGGGCCGCATCTTCTTGGAGATGGCCATGTCAAGGCGAAGTCCTGAGGGTCATGGCACCACTGACGCTCAAGCCCCTTCCCTCAGAATTCTGACGACTTGAGACTTGGCCTTGCGTGGATTTGAACCCGCATCGCAGAACTCTTGTCCCGTAACGCTGCTAACCGTGCTCCTCTCCAGATCCGGCTGCTGGCCGCCTGCACGTACAAGTACACGCCCCCGATGCCGGCGGCCGGCCTGCAGGGGGCGCCCTCCGTGCCGCTGGCCTGGCAGACGCGCGCCGTCAGCACGCCCAGCCTGCAGGACCGCGGCCTGAAGGCTTTCTGGAACCGCATGTCGCACAGGTGAGCGGCGCTCGCCGCCGACGCGCCGGCGGGGCGGAGAGGCCTTCGTTCCCTGGCGTCTGCACAGACTGACCCGACTGGTCTCTGCCTGGTGGTCGCGCTGCGCCAAGTGCATTGCCGTGGGCTTAGATAGGAAGCCACTGGTCTGTGCCCGCGGAGTGTCCGCTTACTGGTCCGTGCGTGTCCGCTTACCGAACACTGCCCGCCAGCCGCGCTGGCTGTGCTTACCGAGCACCGCCCGCCAGTCGCACTGGCGCTGTGCTTACTGGGCATTGCCCGCCAGTCGCACTGGCACTGTGCTTACTGGGCACTGCCCGCCAGTCGCACTGGCGCTGTGCTCACTGGGCACTGCCCGCCAGTCGCACTGGCGCTGTGCTTACTGGGCACTGCCCGCCAGTCGCACTGGCGCTGTGCTTACTGGGCACTGCCCGCCAGTCGCACTGGCGCTGTGCTTACTGGGCACTGCCCGCCAGTCGCACTGGCGCTGTGCTTACTGGGCACTGCCCGCCAGCCGCACTGGTGCTGTGCTTACTGGGCACTGCCCGCCAGTCGCACTGGCGCTATGCTTACTGGGCACTGCCCGCCAGTCGCACTGGCGCTGTGCTTACTGGGCACTGCCCGCCAGCCGCACGGGTGCTGTGCTTACTGGGCACTGCCCGCCAGTCGCACTGGCGCTGTGCTTACTGGGCACTGCCCGCCAGTCGCACCGGCGCTGTGCTTACTGGGCGCTGCCCGCCAGCCGCACTGGCGCTGTGCTTACTGGGCGCTGCCCGCCAGCCGCGCTGGCTGTGCTTACTGGGCACTGCCCGCCAGCCGCACTGGCGCTGTGCTTACTGGGCACTGCCCGCCAGCCGCGCTGGCTGTGCTTACTGGGCACTGCCCGCCAGCCGCACTGGCGCTGTGCTTACTGGGCACTGCCCGCCAGTCGCACTGGCGCTATGCTTACTGGGCACTGCCCGCCAGCCGCACTGGTGCTTGGCTTACTGGGCACTGCCCGCCAGTCGCACTGGCGCTGTACTTACCGAGCACTGCTCGCCAGCCACACTGATGCTTTGCGTATTGGATACCGCCCGCCAGCCGCACTGGTGCCGTGCTTACTGGACACTGCCCGCTAGCAGTATTGGTTGTGCATACTGGGCACTGCCTGCTAGCAGCACTTGGTGCGCTTACTGGGCACTGCCCGCTAGCCGAACTGTTTATGCGCACTGGGCACTGCCCGCCAACCGTAGTGGCGCCGTGCTTACTTAAGTTAGTTGGCGGCCTGCTCCGTTCTCAGCCGTATTGCTCTTACTGGACGGCCCGCGGTGATTCTGTGTCAGCACTGGTTGCTTTCCTTACTGGGGGCTTCGAACCCTGTTGAACGTAACCCGTTAACTTGTGCACAATTGCGGCGTTGTGCATGAGTTTCTCGGTGTTCACGGAAGTGGCTGCTGCAATACGATTGTTTTGGCTGTAATGAGGATTACTCAGGGTGATGTACTGTGCATCAGACTCTACGACTGCAATTCACTTAAGTGGACAGCGTGATACAAGCGGCTCCCCACGCTGTAGTGTCAATAATCTAATAAATCGTCGCGTATTTGCCAGCAGGGCCCGCCCTTCACTTGCGCGGCGTGGTTCGCTTTGATGGCGGTGTCTCTGACGGAGTAGAGCCCGAAGGCGCAGGTCCCCAACCGATTCGTGCAGGTCTCCGCCCCCATGACACGCGCTAAAGGCCGGGTTGTCGGAGGGCCTAGCCGGTCAGCGGGCGGACGACGGCGCACCTAAAGTCGACCAACGTGTCACAGCCCGGCGCCGTTACAATGCCCTGACACGACGCGCGTGCTATTTGAAGCTGAAACAATAGCCAGCACCGTTAAGCCTGCATGGGGTCACGCCACCTCGGGCTTAGTGACGTAAAGCGGGTGTGACGACAGCCGCCGGCCGTGCCCTGCTCAGGACGGCGTGGTCGCGCGCTCATGCGGACAGGTTTCGGAATGTGAAGCCGCGCGTGGAGCCGGTGCAGGTGCTCGGCGTGCGCTCCATCCCAGAGGAGGTCTCCGAGAAGGGCTCCACCGCAGCGCCCAAGCTCACGCTGGACGGCGTGCTGCCCGCGAGCAAGCGCGTCAAGGGAGGCATGCCCCAGGTGCGTACAGGGGCGCATCACGCGAGGGAGCACACGGCTCGCTGGTCAGATGCATTGAATGACAGCGAGTGCTCAGTTGCATTAAATGAATGGGAGGTTTCCGTCTAGTTAGTGCTGCTGTTGAAATGCTCACCAGATCATTTGTGGACGGTTGCAGCTACCTTTCCCGCTATCCTCGCTCGCTCACGCTGGTTATAACGACATGGCGTTTGATGTACATAATAGTATACGTAATAGCTGGATTCGATGCGGGGTACCGTGGTACGAAGCCTGCCGCTGTACTGGCTGTGCAGTTTGCACCACCCGGTCCTGCTGAGGCGGATGCTTATCAAATGGGTTTATCTGGACATTCATACACATGGCTTGTTTTCAGATATATTTGTTTCGTATAATGTTCCGGCACACATGCTCGCATGGAGGCGCCCTGAATCTGCACACCGTGCCCTTGTTTTTCCGTGTCCTAGCGCTGGCTGTCCGATTTTTGACTTCTTAACCAACGCATGCAAATACGCGGGTCATAAATGTAGTCGCACTGGTGTAATCCACGGTCAGGGGAGTGTCCCGAAGCGGATAGGGAACCCACACACGTTGCTTACGAAGCCGGCGCCTGCTCCACGCTGCAGGGCTTTCCGTCGCGAAGTCTGTCGTCGGACATGCTACGTCCCGTGCTGCCGCCGTTCTACTGCGACCGCGCCATGCGCGACCGGTGCTGCCTGCCGCCCGCTCTGAAGGACGGTCCGCTGCCGCCTCCGCCCAGCGAGGGTGAGGGGGACGGGGGTAAGGGACGGCCGCTGCCACCACCGCCCAGCGAGGGCGAGAAGGAACGGGGCTGAGGGACGGCTTCTCCCCCTCCGCCCAGCGGGGGTGAGAGGGGACGGGACTGAGGGACGGTTCGCTGGGTGAGAGGGGGCGGTTGCTGAGAGACGGGCGCTCCTCCCCGCCCACAGCGAGAGTGAGAGCAGGGGTATGCTGTTCACCATTTGAGTCTTTACAACGCAAACTGGGTGGGCTAGGCTAATTGACTCTGCAGCTCTAGGACAGATGCTCCAGGGGATGCCACTGAAGACGCTGTCTCTCTTGATGGCTCCCCTGTCGCATCTCTTGCCTTCGCGGCTGCTGTCTTCATTTCCTTCGTGTTCTCGCCTGATTTTCATGCCCCTCATCATCTTCCTGCCTCTCGCCTTCAGCATTTGCAGGAGCCACACCCTCCCATGCTGCTCTGACCACACCTGGCTGCACTCCAGGGACGTCGATGGCGCCACAGGGCGGCCACCTGAACACCTTCCGCCTGCTGCGGTACCTCCGCTCGCCAAACTCGTCCCCGTCCAGCTCGCTGAATCAGCGCCGCATGCTGTCGCCGGGACCGCACTCGTCCGGTGAGTGTCGGAGTGTCTGTGCCCGTCCCGTGAGATTGGAGTGTGCCCGTCCCATGGCGTCGGCGCGTCTGTGCCTGTCCCACAAGTGTCGGAGTGGCGTTGCCCATCCCGTGAGCGTCGGGATTGTCTGCTTGTTCTGTGAGTGTCGAAGTGTCGGCTCTGATCCGATGAGTACCGGAAGCGCATTCTCTGATCTGGTGAGGTGCGGAGTGCATTCACTCATCCTGCGAGTTTCGGAGTGTCTGCTCTGATCCGATGAGCACCGCGATTCAGTGCTCGGATGATCTGGAGTGCTGGAGTGTCCTCACTCCAGTACTCCAGTCTCCTGAAACGGAGTGGCCTCTGCTGCAGTCAAAATCCCGTGACTAATGAGCGCGAGTGCCGTCGCTCCGCGCCCTGCTTCCACCGCCCCACCGCTCGACTGCCTGCTGTTCACGATGCTTCCCACAGGGCTTCACTGGTGTCGGGAGTCGGAGGGTATGGTGCTGCACGCCTGTATGACGATAAGGCATCGTCCCACCTCCTCTCATATCACTTACGCTCCCTCGTATCAGACGTACATTTGAGCTGTCACGCTCCGCATTGTCGCTTTCCCCCTTTTTTGAATGCATCCGTGAGCATCCGCGCGACAACCAAACAGTATCGCATTATTTCACTCTGGTTCGAAAGCGTTCCCCACTCGTCATTGAACTCCTCTTCCAGGAGACTCGGGCTTCGAGACGTTGGGGAAGTCCTCTGACCATCCCTGCTTCAACAAAGCCAAGGTCTCTCCCAGCAAACGCTTCTCCAACAAGGCCAAACAGAAGCCGCCTAAGAGGTACGTGGGACCACTATGGGGCTTCGCTTTGTCGTCCTGGGAACGTTACCAGTCACCATTGTAGTTCGGAGGGAATTTATAATGAAAAGGAGGGTCAAACGGCAGTGAAAACACTCACATCAAACGAGCGAGAAATGCAAACATGAAGTAATTAAAGTGGGGAATACAAATTTTGCAACATATTTTGTTGCACAGTTCCATTCAATGCATTTCCTTGTATTAGTGTTGCCTTTATCACACTCCCAGCGAGGACGGGCTGTTCCACGTACATTAGATATAGCTCCCAAGGCTCAATCACCCAGCGATGTTGACTGCATTTGGAAGTGATGATGTATATAGGCACACCAGACATACACACTAAATTGTCTATGGCTTCTTTTAACGATCCTTTAGAATGCGTCAGAATGTCAACATTCGGTACGAACCTGAGCTCTACGGGCGAAGGTTTTCTTGTCGCCTACTTTATTATTTAAGTGACAACAAAGACGGCGCTAAGTCGCCGACTTGCATGCGACATGCCCCCGGGGCATCGCTTTGAGCAGCTTCCACGTTTTGTAACGACTGTCAGGGGTGCCTCCTTGCAAGCATCCGATCTATTGCACGAAACCATCGCGACCGTTCGTGAGGACGCCATAAGTGACGTAATAATGACGCAATCATGCACGTGTCCCGGCGCCCCGAAGTTTGCCGAGGTCGCTGGGTCTGTGCCCGCTGGCCGATTACCGCGCCGGCGGCATACGCTGCGCTCTCAGGGACGCCCACTGGCAGCGCGCTAGCACGACATGGTACCTGGTGACCTCTGAACTTCTGTTCAGAAGGTTTGGCTGCCTTACCTCGCTGATAAGAGTGGTCCACTTAAACCCAAATCAGCCACCATACAGAAATGTGGGACGCAAGTCACGGTGTTTAGGTGTGTTTGCCACAACGTAATGCTGTCACAAGTGTTGGCCACACAAGTCGCAGTATAGTGTGACATAATAGAGAATGCAACAAAATAGTTATTTCAACATTTTATAGGTAAGCCAAGTCGTAAAACTGGGCACTCGAGCAGCCTTATTTATGGGACCGCCGTCGTCTGAACCGGCAGATTTCATGCACACCGTTCTTGACGTGTTTCCACGGGGTCTCATGCTGAAAGCAGGCAGAGTTCAGCGGTGCCCGCTGGCAGGCATCCGGTGTGCTGCCGGCTATCTCGACTTGCATGGGTACCATACATGCATCGCTTTTAGATACAGGTGGTCTTTAGTGTTTTAAATGTTTTCTTTGTCAACCATGATTTAGCCAAGGTATCTCGAAATGATCGAACATGATACACAGATGTTACCAACGCTTATTGGTCGTCAGTCCCTACGTTACGACCGAGGTGTAGTCCAGGGGTGGACGTTTATTGAATCGTAATGCGTCGTCTGGAAGTGTTTTAGCTCCTGGCTTTGCCCATCTTAGACATGTCTGATGAGATAAAGAGACAGACGCCGCCGCCATCAGGGATTTCGATGGCAGGCTCAGTCCTGAAGTAGCGACCAGTGCTCATCTAATGGAATCAAAGCTGACCATTGGAGCTGATGGGAGCACGTTAACATAAGCGTTTGTTCCTGCCCTTGATATGCTCTTCAATGCTTGCATTGACTGTTATTTATGTTGTACCGACTCCCGGTGGTACACGCGAACAGGGATTACGCAAGCCATATCACCAGAAACTGGCCGGTGATCTGTCCGCGCATACAGCGCGGGTCGAACAAGCGCGCTGCCTGGCTGTCCACTGACCGACTGCAGCGGCTCATCAGGGGGGAGGGGGGGGGGGGGGAGTGGCAGGCCGGAGTAAGGGGTCACCCTCTTCCTAGTCCCGTATCTCCAATGGAAGCGAACCTTTGAAGGGGTCTCGACGTTTCTTTTTCCTGATTGACTTTTGGAGCAGCGCATTCAATGTCGTTGTTTACAACCGTACGCCATGGGAAGGTGAGACGGACCATAACAATGATGTATAAAACAAGTCAAATACACAGAGTAAGGCGTTAAATAAGATCAAAACAGACGGTGCGCCCCAAAGCCCAAATCATCATCAAGATCAAAGCAGACCGAAAAGTGGGCGCTAGCTGTGCCCACCCCGAGCTGATTCGTTTTAGCTCTGCAAATTCATCGCTGCTTTCTCTGCAAGGTTTTGCTCCAGCTAGCGAATTACCGAATACGAAATTGCATCTATTTTCAGGCATGCTGGAGCAGTCAATCTCATGCGAATGCCATCATTGTGAACATTTAGTAATCAAATTATGGACCAAAGTTGCAAGCCGATTGGATGATGGTATGTGGCTAGTATACTGGCTTTGTTTGCTGGAACCGCGTGTAAGTTAAGCGGCTGCTGGGATTTGCCGACTACATTATTGACTTATTCGGGTTCCGTTATGAAACACCAGGAACGTATTGGGGCATCACAATGACATTTTGCACCATTGTGGCATTAGTTGCTCCCATTTGTATGCCAGGATAATTTCCTTTCATGTTTTAGCTTATTAGCGCTGATAAGCGCTCATTATCTTTGATTTCACTTTGTAGTTAATTACCAGTGTTTGCAGTTCGTAGTTCTGGCCTCATAACTGGGGCATTGGGAGTTCCTCTCCGCCCCTTGTTGTGTTGTCTGTTTTTATTTTGTTGTGTTCTTTGTTTTTTGTATTGTTCCCCGACATAGTCCGCACGGGTAATAGCAAGCGCCACAATACTCGTTTTAAATACGTAAAAATACGGATGTCTCTTCTGCTGGCTACAGTACGTTTCCCTGCTCGTGAGACAATCATTTTGAAGGACAAGCTTTTTATTGGCGGTGTGTGACCACGTGATCGCCACGCCTTCAGCCTAGAGCGGCACCAGCAGACATCAGCGGCAGCACTGGTCAGCAAACTGCTGACCTGGGGCGTGGGTGACCTGCTGTGCTGTCCGCAGGGCGGCGGCAGGTCGCAGTGGCGCGCCGGCGGCGCCGCCGCCTGGTGCGAGGAGTCCGCGAGCTGACGGCCCGCAGCCGGCCGGCGCCGGCGGCCAGACCGTCAGCAAGCTGACCTACCTGCTGCGCTCGCTGGGCATGGCGCGCTACGGACCCGTGTTCGCCGCGCAGGAGATCGACTTCGAAGCGTTCGTCGCGCTGTCGGAGGCCGACCTCAACGAGCTGGAGATCGGCCGCAAGGACCGCGAGAAGTTCGCGCTGGTTATCAGCGAGCTGCGGTCGAAGCTGCCCGTGTAGGTGACCTGGCGCCCGGCGGCCCCCACTAGCGCGCGCGTCCCGGCGTCCCGCGCGGCGCGGGCGAGTCACCGCCGCCTCGCGGGCGAAGAAGCGTGCCAATCGTGCCGAACGCGAGCGGCCGGCCCGACCGAACCACAGCCCGGCTCCGTTCGGTCGGCGTTTGTAGGCGGCGCCCAGTAGCCGCGCTGCTCTTGTGAACGGTTTGCTGTGATACCCGGCGTTTGCGTTTTAGCAGTGGTGAGGTCGAGGAGGCCAGCCCCGCTCCATGTGGCTCGTATTGAACCGGCTTACGTGCTGTTGACTTCGTGCTGCCAGCCCGGTCGAGTTGCTTTGAACGGGCCGGAGTCTGTTGTCGGCCGGCCCGTTGCTGGCTGATGAAGTGTTGTGCTGTCAGCAGAGTCCTTCACCAACGCAGTATTATTCACTTGTCAATGCAAAGCGAGGGTCGTTTCAGAAGCAGTAGGTGAGGTGTATTTGTCATGCTTCTCTGTGTGTTGTTTAGACGAGTTTTGTATAGCCTTTGTGTGTGTGCCCATCGTACGGTTCTTCGTGGTTTGTACTCTCAGTTTGTCTCGCGCCGTAGCGCATCCTGCAAGCGTGTTTGTTTCACATTGGACGCTCGTCCGCCGCGGTGGTGTTCTTTTTCGTCCAGAGATGTCGCCCCCGGCTGGACCCTCTCCCTCTCACCTTCCGAGCCGTATGCCCCGCGCCTAGTACAAACCCCGGCCGTCCCCAGCCCATTCCTGCCGTGTTGCCACGACACCAACAGAGAGGGTTGGGCTGGCTGTGTGTGAGCGCGCCGGCGGCCTCCGCAGGACGGAGGGGTGGGGCGGACCCGGCGCGCGCCTTACAGCCGCTAAAGTGCCTTCTGCGGAGGTGGTTGTGTGTTGAGATGGTCCATAGTTTTCCTGGTGGCGAGCAGCCGTTGGTGCCAGGTGTGTGCGTTTATTGTGGTTCGGATGCTCTATACGATATATTTCTCGACGTATGTGATATAATTGCGATATTGCAGTTTATAGACATGATGTAGTGTGATGGTTCAATAAATATTTTTGCTCGGCTACCAGTTTCTATGGAGCTGCTGCAACAAGGCCCACTTTTTGTCATCGAACGGTCCATTTTGTGGCCATGCGCCAGCCGCCGTCGATTAGTCACACCCAACCGCCCCGCTATATTCGCTGAACCTGCCGGCCGAGGGACTCACCCTCGGTTGGGTGACGGGCTGTTCAGCAGTTTGTTAGGGGGGCTTCCGCGTGGTGGCCATTCTGCACCCAGTCGGTTTCGTATAATAAACACGCTCACACACACACACAGTCGCAATGCTCAGTCACAAAGCGTCTTACAGCAGTCAAGAAGGCACGCCGTGATGGAGCGTGGACGGTCGCCAGGGGCAGGCAGTTCCATGCGGCAGCCGTCCGGTGTGCAAGCTGCCGCTGAGTGGTAGTCGGTCTGACGCGCTAGGTGCAGCGAACCGTTACCACGGGCCACGACTCGGGTGTAGCGTTAGGAGACCTTCGCGCGCGTACCGAGACATGAACGTAGGGCGGCGGGCGTTCCGCTGACATGCAATGTACGGTACACATTGACGCAGTCGTGTCGGCGCTCCATCCCCGCCACGCTGCACCATCCCGGCGTTTCTAATGCAGGTGTAATGAAGTTGCAGCGGCGGATGCCTAACGGCAAAGTGGCAAAGTAATCCACCTAACGGCAAATCAATCCACCAGTGAATTGTCCTTTGGACCCGGCAAAGTGAATTGTCCTTTGGACCCGGCTTAGATAACAGTCGGGAGCGCCTTCCCACACGGACAGACAGTAATGTATTCGCGGGGAACGTATGCACGAACGAGATGCGTCAAAACATCAGGGCTATTGCATCAGCCAGCCGTCGGGTGGGTTATGTGCAGCTAGTAAATGGACTGGTTCACGCTCAAGCCCAGGTATCTGGCAAACATACTTCCCACTAAATGCCATGTATTCCGTCGGAGCCTCCTAAACCATGCACACCATCCGTGATGTCCCTCGATGCTTTCTTTAAAAAGCCATCCCCAGCACCTCACCAGCCGTCTGTTGCATTGCATAGTTCCGGAATTGCAAGGCGATTAACCTATGGGATTGGTTAGGCGGCCCATCGCACGATGACATGCTCGCTCCTCATTGTTCGTTACGAATCGCATCATTTCCGTGGCACGTGGTCATGACTCGTTTCCGACTGAAGCTAGTATATCAGGCGAACCGTTTGTTACCATGTATGCTCATATGCTCATAGACTCGACGACTGAAGGCTGCTGTTGGTAGTGCACGTGGACGTTGTGGTGTGGAGCGTTGGTTGGTGAGTGCGAGGTACTGGGTAAAAGGGCTCTACACCGACGAGATTCATCTTTGCTTGACTCGCGAGAAGGGTTGGCACGGACGAGGTCGTCACTAGTCTACAGGAGGAACTATCTAACTATCACGCAAACAGTTAGAAATCTGCTATCCCCGCCTCTAACCTGTATCTCGGAATTCCTGCAGTCTGTTCCAGTGGACTGGAAGTTTCCCATAGGGACCCACCGGACCAAGCAGGGACTCAATTTTTCCACTAAGTACCTCTTTCATGCTTTTGACACTACGCAACGCGCGGATGCCAAAATCAACTTGGCGAAGAACCCTTGAGTGCGTTTGCGCTGTGATAAATGACAGTAGTGATACGCGAAAGGATTAACCAAGTAGCAAGGAAACAGGGCCAGGTTGGACCGAGGAGGTTCAGAAATCGTAGCGGGGCAAAGAACAGCAACGAAGGGCGTTCAGAGGTAGTAAGCCGAAAATGACGGCAAAAAGAACGCGACGCCCACAAGGAACTATCATTATCTCCACAGTTACCTTTGACGCGAATGTTCCATTGATGCGTGGTGTATGCTTTTTTCAGTCTCGTCCTAAACAGCTTATCAGGAACAAATGACAACTATCAACCCGCGAGATTCCAGTGAACGTGATCATGAAGAGGACATGGAAGCTCCGCACTGACGAGAAATCGGCTTTTCGGCTGGGAGCGGCTACCGGGGCTTCTGACAGCTTGATGATAATTTGGGATTTGGGGCGCACCAACAGTGATCTTCTGGCGGCTGACATAGCCGCAGGGCAGGGGGCCGGCCACCCCCCTCCCAGCCGCGGCGAGCCCGGGGCACACCGGGACGGACGAGCACACTATACCGTCGTGGCCACGGGCAGTGGTGGCCCGCTCGTTAGCTCCGTAACGAGGCGGAGGCCACTGCAGCCCGCACTAACAAGGCACAGAAGTAGGACAGCGTCGAGGGCCGGGCTGTCACCAAGTGGGTTTTTACGCGCGTCGGACGCGCGCACCCAAGGCCACCCAGGGACTATGCAGGGGCTGCCCAGGGCTACTCAGGGGCTACCCAGGGACTGTCCAGGGGTACTCAAGGTTCGAACACCAGGCTGTGAACCAGGCGTCTGCGAAGGGCATACTCTGCTGAACACCTCTTTCTTTCGACAGGTATGGCTGCTGCACGCTTGCTTCGTTCCCCGCCCCCTGTTTGGTTACGCTGAGCGGTCTTTTAAAAGAGCAGCCCGTTGGAGTTGGAATGCATGTTTGAACACTGCACAGGTTACTTCATTTTGCCATATCGGCTCTTTCAAAAGTGTTTGTGCGATAGGAATTTTACCTCGCACTGCTGTTATTTATCATTGCTGCTTTTTGTCCCTAAAACTACCCTCTACAAGGTTGAGGGCCTATTATCACAAAGTTGCATGGACATAAGAGCAGCAGCAAGTCGCACACCATACGATAGATAATGTAATTAGTGCAATGGTTTCTACAGACCAGCTCTGTGACCTGAGCTCGAGGATTTAATGTCGGTAGCCATTAGTGAGGCACCCACTTAGCACGACCTGCACCTAACATATAGTGCCTGGCATCAATCACCCATCACAAATGACATTGCTTTTGTTACTCCCAAGTTCGCATGACATAGATTAACTCCTGTGGTTTCAAGATGACGACGGACAGAGGGCTGCACTTCATCAGAAAAATTTAAGCTAAAATATCTGTAAGTTCACCTCCGTTTTCCGAAATCGTGACAACTTTAATAGGCAGTGGTTCAAAAAAGGTCGAGCCACTCATCATGCTGCGGTGAAGGAAGTAAAAATGTTCTCAAAGGCATTCCAAGGAGAGAAAACTCGCTAAAGATGGACACGCGAAAGCTTCTTGTTCTCTGACCACAGCCTGTTCGACTTCCTCCTGTGGAGCTAGTTGAAGACAATATTTATAATAGCATACCATAAAGCACCCAGCAGCTCGCGCGAGCTGTGCTAGAGTTACAGTGTCTTTTTTAGCGTCCGGTCGCCAGGGTTTGAGACACAATTTTGTTCTCACGACCTACGCTCTCCTAACACGTCACGTTTGACACATCGAACACGTCATGAACGCTGTTCGACGATGCTAAACTGCGTAGCGCGACGCGGGTGCTGTTCTTGACTATATTCCTCACATGCAATATCACCAAAATTTCTAAGCGCCCTTCTCACTTGAGTTTAAGAGTTTGTGCGCTTAAACTCACGCGACTCATGGAAAATGAATGACTCTCATTGTAGGAACACTTCTGAGATATCCTGAATTGACGACGGACGATGGTTTGTTAGCTTCAGCCTTCTTACCTGCCCGGCATATTTCAGATTATTTGAGCTGACGTCTAGGCGCTAGGTGTGACTTCCAGGCAGGGGGAGAGGCCATCTTGGTGTGATTTCCAGGCAGGGGGACAGGCCATCTTGGTGTGACTTCCAGGCAGAGGGGCAGGCCATCCTGGTGTGACTTCCAAGCAGAGGGACAGGCCATCTTGGTGTGACTTCCAGGCAGAGGGACGGGTCTGGGTGCCCAAATCGATAATCCCTGCGCGCGTATCACAAATTGTAATTTTGCTTATGACGACACATACTTTTGGCGAGCGGTCAAAGGGCAGACAAAAAGGTGGGGATAAAGATCCAGTATCTTTCACAGACATGTTCGT